ACAGGATCCCTCAATACGCCTCGTTCCTCTGCATCATAATCTTGTGTGGGGAGTGGTGTTTGCCCATCGGTGGTTTTCTTTCCATAGGCCGTTAGAAACTTGTCAAGCTTCTCTCTATCCAGATGAACCGTAAATAATATGGCTTGTAAAATCAATACAAGCAAATCCAAGACTACTAATTTCAGCTTCGACGAAGGTCCTTTTTGACCAATAAGATCGATTATGATTCCTCCATGAAGATATCCTCTCATCTCCTCCGTAGATCTCGATGGCGCAAGGAAAAGGTGTAAAAATATACAAAGAATATTCGTGCCCAACAGCATTATGACCCATGAGGAACTTTGAGGCGGCTGTCTAACATTCTTTGGCTTTGGCGTAAGAATAACGAACTGAGTGAGGGCACGTATGAAGAGTTGGAAGAATGAGCAGCTTTGAATGTGTTAGCTTAAGCAAATCAAGAAGACTGGAGAGTGCTACATACTCCATGTAATATAACACGCATAACTGGCAGTAAACCGCAAAGTCGAGGTTTGCCATCAACGAGCTTGCTAACTCATACTTCTTTCTCATTTGTTCGTAAGCTCTTTTTTGAGCAGGAGTGCTGGAGCGATGTCGACGTCGCCGGCTCGATGGCCCACTTCTGCCATTGGGAGGGGTTGCCGATGGGCCCGATACTGATGTGAAATCATTGTTCATTGCTTTCAGGAGTCATTGATGATTTGAGATGACTTGTGTGGATGGTCGGAGGTTTGGAAGTTCACATCTTTTTGAACGTGTAAAATAGAGGGCAAGTAAGACTTGCAGCTCTGATAATTCACTGTTCCGATTATCAAAAGCTTTTGAAGCTGTTGATGCGCAACAGGATGGAATAGGCGACAGAACGGATTGGACATTGCAGGGTTCACCAGTGGTTGTTTAATTTTACTTACATAAGCGGAATTGTAATGGATTCGCCAGGCTGCAATGTTCTGGTAAGATCTAAACCTTTCAAACTCTTTCAATCGTTCAGAAGAGATGAGTTGCACCGTACCCATTCATTCATTCTATTCTTTACATACTGGTGATCATTGATAATCAGTGCAAGAAGATAGTTGTATAAATTATATTCATATTTTGATTTCTGTGCTGCAGTGCAATGTCAATTCCTTCCAACCACAGAAAATTGGACAACGCAATCCTTTTCCTATGTTCCCAAGACGAGACGTAGGAATTGCGAATTGTAGTCAAAAACTTCGGGATCGATATCATTCCTAGCTGTTACCCTAACAAGCATCGCCATTTGATCTTGCCAATTTCGATCTGATCTGGACATCGCCCTGTCATTCCATCTATCGAACCACCAATGTTTAGAACACTGCCCCATGGCTTTTGCTGAACAAACTAGTTTTGGCCAATGTGTCGGCCAGCCATGTTCAACTTCGTCTACCTTGTCAAAACACATTTGCGCAAACATATATCCGTACCTCCTCATGCCAACTATATCATCATGATGGCAAGCAATGGCCAGCTCTTCCAATCCTTCGAACCTCTTGAATTCTCGTAGATTATCAAACACGTGCGGAATCAGATAATGCTCGTGTATGAGAATCTTTTTTATCCTCCTGCATTCTTCATCCGTGATTTTTCCACCCAGTCGACCTGGGATGCTTCCCATTGATGGCCAGTTGAAGCACAAGAAGTCTTGATCATAATTGATGCAGGTGTTAGAGAAGATGGGAGACGAGAAAGTCCAATAAGCAAGTGATATTGAACGAGACTCGCTTGAGGTATGAAGTATAGGAGGAGGCTTCCGATCAGAAATGAATCGATTTTCTGATGGGGACCATGATAGCCCAATATAGGGCGAGGTGAGTAAGATGGCGTAGTTCCAGATTTGGAGACGAAGTTCAGTGGGTAACTTTGCGAATAAGTGGAAGGACGTAGGAGAACCAGTTGGAGATGGTGCTTTATTGGTGCAGCAAGTCATTCCTAAACACATCTTGGTGCCAGGAGATGGGTAAAATATAGGTTCTGTTAAAGTAGCAATGTAGTAGAGATCTCGTGGCTATTAGTGACACTTGTGGCTATTGTCTCTCGATACTTAGCTCGGAGTCAAGGAACGGCAATTGGTATTATGGAATAGCTAAAGGCAAACAAGTAAAGAAATCCGCATACATCCAAGTAGTAGACGGGATATATATAAATGGGCCAAACCTTACAGCTGTTGGCGTTTGGCAATGCGAGGAGGGGCGAGATCCTTGTACATGGTTGTACTGTACTCACAAAGTATACCATAAATACCGCTGGGACCTCTTTACCGATACGAGATGCGGTGATGTGATGTGATGAAGAAACATTTTTGGTAGCATTGGATTCCCCCACACCAATCTTGGGTATATTCGTTTCATTCTCGAATCTGCTGGGACAAAAATAGTACCAATGCAAGCGTCGGAGTGCCCTGGCAGGTTGGGCATGTCTCCCTGACTCCTTGACCCGGAAGAAGCCGGACAACAAATAAATCCACCAAAATGCTATGAGTAAAGATAAAGATAAAGATGCCAAAAAGTCAAAAGCGCTACAATGTCGTACTTTTCATAAATTGAAAACAATTCATTTCAAAGTATTGATGTTTTTGAAAAAGAAACCTGCCTTTAGTAAATTGGCCGATAAGGATGCTTGCTTTTGAAGATATAAAATCAAACAGGGACAATTTAATTTAATATAGGATTTCTTTTTTGTTTGACGGTGGGACGATTTTGATATTGAAAAGCAACTGAACAATGGTCAAATGCACGAATGAAAAGCAACTAACTCACGTGAATCAGTAGTTTGACTGTCTGGTGAACGTAGGTAGGTAGGTAGGTAGAGAGATCTACCTATATACATGTAGGTATATGAATTGGGACGTTGAAATCCAGTAGATTCCGGAGAACCAATTCATTTCAACATACAACCATGAATAGATCTCTCTCTACCTCAGCTTGAAGAAACATGTGTGAGTGAGTGAAGAGGGACTGAGGGAGTGAGGGGTCGGATAAAAACCCCTCCTAATGCCTTAATTCTTTTTAAGGCATCACCACACCTGAACCTTCAAAATTATTGAGATTGAGTCACCTCGAACATTTACTATTATAACAACAAATCTGTAATTCTTCCAAAAATGGCGTCCGATTTACCGTCCGAGATTCTTCAAGCTCTCTCCAAGAATGACAATATTCTTTCCTCGGAAGCATTTCCTTCTCAAAAGTCCACCGACATCAAAGGTGCTTTGGACAGACTTGGTTCAAGGTCTATGATCACATACGAAACAATTGATCGCGAAGAAGTTATACTGGAAGCAGAAGCTGAAGAAATTGCCAACAATGGTAGTCATGAGGCACGAGTCTTTGAGGCTCTTCAAAAGGCAATGGATGGACTCACGGTTTCTGAATTAGAAGCTGCTGTGGGAGACAAGAACGTTGTCAAGGTTGGTCAAGGTAAAGCATTCAAGTCGAAATGGATCGCGAAAGGTAAAGACGGAAAGCTGGTAGCTTCAGTGAGTTATTTTTCTCCAATTCTACAGAGTTCGTTCTAATCTTGCAGACCGATTCTATCCAGGACACAACTCGAGAACAGCTCCAAATTATCCAAAAGACTCGTGCGCATCCAGATCCAAAAGTTATCACCGAGCTCAAGAAACGTAAGCTGGTAAAGATGCAGAAGGTTACGAGTTATAAGATCTCTAAAGGACCTAAATTCGCCTTGGAAATGGTTAAGGAAGAGACAGATTTGACAGCAGACATGCTTGCATCGTAGGTTTCAGCGACACTTTGAGTTATAAAAAGTGCTCACATATTTAGGGGTGCATGGAAAACTGCCGCTTTCAAACCATATAATTTCAAATCTCTTGGAGCAGACCAGAATTCTGGTGCATTACATCCTCTAAATAAAGTACGACATGAATTCCGCCAAATCTTCTTCGAAATGGGTTTCGAGGAAATGCCTACCAATAACTTCGTCGAAACCGGCTTCTGGAACTTCGACGCTCTCTTTGTTCCACAACAACATCCTGCGAGAGATTTACAAGACACCTTCTATATATCGGATCCTAAAACTGCAGACAAACCACGTGCAGTGGATGGGGAGGATAAAGCTGACTATGAGGCATTGTGGAAGAATGTACAAGAAGTTCACCAGGAAGGAAAATATGGATCAATCGGTTATAGATATCCTTGGGCTGCGGATGAATCTTTACGACTAGTTCTTAGAACACATACAACTGCGACCTCGACAGCAATGCTACACAAATTAGCCCAACAAAAGGGACCTGATGGACGACCACCGCCAGCAAGATACTTCTCCATTGATCGTGTGTTCCGTAATGAGACTGTTGATGCTACCCATCTTGCTGAGTTCCACCAAGTTGAGGGTGTTATTGCAGATTATGGATTGTCCTTGGGAGGTCTTATGGAATTCATGGAGGTCTTCTTCAACAAGATGGGCCTGGAAGATTTGCGTTTCAAGCCAGCTTATAATCCTTACACCGAGCCAAGTATGGAGATTTTCAGTTACCACAAGGGTCTCGGCAAACTGGTTGAAATTGGAAACAGTGGGATGTTCAGGCCAGAAATGTTGGAGGCAATGGGCTTACCAAAAGATATGAAGGTCTTTGGTTGGGGATTAAGTTTGGAGCGTCCAACTATGATTAAATATAAGGTAAGATTTCTCCCACACTCTTGGATCATAAAATCAATCTAATCTGTCTTTTAGGTGAACAATATTAGAGAATTGTTAGGTCACAAGGTTGATTTGAATTTCATCGAGAGAAATCCAGCTGTCAGACTAGACAAGTCATAAGGGATTAGATAGGTCTATAAAAATAAATGGTTGCACAGTTAAAAGACAATTGATACCCATGAATTCCTCTCGTCATAAGCACTGTGCAGGGATTCAAGGTATAATGGCTTCGAGTTAATGACAGAACGAATTGATAATGGGTATCATACTACAAAGAAAAATTTCATGATGTAAATTAATGATCGCTAATCATGATCTTCCTCCGTTAAACCTGGACAGCCATCCATTGAATCGTCGGGATATGTGTATTTGCAGAAGAAGCAATAATTGTACTGCGACCTCAAATGTTCAACGATCTTTTGCAGTCTCTCAGTCGGTTCCAGTAGATTGAAAGCATCAAGCTCAGGGTCCTCTTCTTCCAAATCCTCTACAAGAGTATGCTGGATCCTGTCCTTTCCGATTGCTCTCTTGTCATCCTTGTCTTCGTCCGCATCATCGTAGGTCGGTAAACGTGATAAACTTTGTTGGAGATCATATCTCATCCTTCTATCCCTTTCCTTTTCTTCGCGCTTCCGAACTAATCCTCTCCATAAAATGTTGATCTGCTTCAACGGTTTGGTCGATATTTTGCGTTTAAGTTCGTCTTTAGTTTCCCCAGATCCCTCGCTCACCTTATCAATTGTGTTCTCCATTTCCTCTTCCTCTCTTTCCCCGTGCATCCTCTCCGCAACCCTCATCGCTGCGCCCACCATCCCTTCCAATCTCGCATCCTCCCTCTCTTTCCTAACCCTCTCCCTATACTCCCCCTCCTCGGCCTTAGCCCTCTTCCCCTCCCGTTCCACTTCCTCCCTAAACTTCCTCTTCTTCTCTTCATCCAACCCGATTCCTCCCTTGCCTTCTTTAATCGTCACTCCCACCGGTTCCAACCTCGCCCCAACATTATCCTTCGCCCCCAGCGCAACCCCCGGCTTAAACCCCATATTCGCCATCATCTTCAACCCCTTACTATTCGCATTCCCCGGCGCCTCCAACATCGATTTCGACAACGCGTCTTCCCTCGCAGCATTTTCCTCCGCCGCTATCTCAGCCTTCGACTTCGTGCGCGATCGCGCTTCCGATTCTCGCTGTATGCGCTGTCGTCGTTGGGTGTATGTTTCCTTCTCTCGCGGTTTGACGGGCTCGGAAATTATCATGTTCATGTAATCGTCCTCCTCGTCTTCTTCTGGCGCAGCTTCATTCGAAGCTTCTGCGACTTTCAAATCCTCTTCTGTCATGATGGATGAATGAATATGATTGTTATGTTTCGTAGAAAAACAACCAATCGAATACCCTCCTCAGCTCTCAAAAAAAGTTTTGTTGCACGTCTGTCCGCAAAACCAACTATGGGGCTTTTGGGAAATTGATAAATTTGATTGCAGATTTGGAAAGAGGGAGATTGCGCGATTATGGGAAAAATTGTCCCGGGGGTTGGGAAGCAACAATTGAGGTGCGACGGTGAGGGGCGTTTGGGGAGATTTGGGGAAAGGCTGTGTGGTGTTGTCTCGAGGCTACCGATTTTACACACCAAAATTTACGTCACCGCCTTGAGCAAAATCTTGAAATTGACCAATGAAATGAGTGCCGAGGTATGGATAGCTCAAGTGCTAACCCCCAGGGTTCCTTTAAATTCACTAATGAGGAGGCTGTCGTGGATAGTTTAGATGATGTATCCTTTGTAGATTGCCCTTATATGATATTAATTATTCTATATCATTCATTCTCCGGCATTTATGGAGAGAGAGACATTGAAGCAATTCACCCACCAATGATCGTCTCCACACACCTAGTATTTCCATTCATCAAGGGAGATAGTGCAAAGCAACCAAGTGATTGGCTTCTACAAATTAAGTCATTGGGTATTTGTATGTTATTCTACAAGTATTGGGAATGTCTATACTACTTTACACATCCAACAAATCCTCATCTGCTGTGTTGTACACCATCCAAGGAACACAATCAGGAACGCCCATCATCCTCGCCGCCGTTTGGGATGATTTGACGATATCCATACGTCCTTCTTGACCACCGTTCACCTGTAGTGCAACGATACGTAGAAGGTCTGACAATAACGTTAATGCCTCCTCTGATTTTGCTTGCTCTCGCAAGTCATCATAAACTATTCCTAACTCCGCTAAAGCCTCAATTCTTTGCGATTGGAGCATTGCTAGAACTTTCGTGACTTGTCGCATTCTCTCCTTTGTACCCTTATTAATATTGAGACGTCTTAGTGCAGGTCCAGTCGTAGCGCCAATTGCTGTTATTTGTAAAACAATGTTGCGTGCGGTATCATCCGTAGGATATGTTCCAAAATACTTTTGCATAGCACGCAAGGCCACTGCAGTTCCTGGTTGGTCGTCCACCAAGCCAAAGTTCAATATGATTGAGTTATAAAGGTCCTTCGGTAGATCATCTTTTCCAAGCTCTGCCTTCAACTCATGTCGCCATCTCATCATTTCTGCGAACAGTTCTGCGGGGGTAAAAAATTTGTGAGCTCTATGTCTTTGCATATTCCTTTGCTTTAGACTATGCCACAATTGCAAAAATGTCTCAATGTTAGGCTTCAATCCGTCACTGACGAAGGTATAGTACATCTCTTTCGTGTCCAAAGAGGATTTAGATTCAGCTTTGATTGCTGTGTTCATAAAGTAGGTATTTGCTGGAATTTTTGCTTTTCCTAACGTTGTGTAAAGGTCCAAAAGGTGTTCATGTTTCTGCTCTTTCACATATTGGTCCATAAGAATTGCAAATGTTTCGATTGTTGCAGGGGGGTGGAGGTTGAAGCTGGCAAGTTTGTAGTCTCGCTTGTTTGTCCCCTTCACAGCCGTCAATGGGGGTAGCAACACCTTAACTCCTTGATCTCGAGCCTTAACGAAATCAAGTCTTGCTGCAATCATAGACCAGCCCATTTCCTCAGCCAGTTTTCGGTTCTTTAATTTACCCGTACGGAACCAGGCACCCATAAGCCCATTTGTGAATTTGGCATCCGGGCAGATCCTGAAATCTCGCATTAAATCAAGTACTCTGCTAGCTTCGTCAAGGTCGCCACTTCCAATCAGTTTCTTCATCCATTTTCCAAAGAAATACTTATTGTTCAGCATGGATGGAAATTCTTCATAATCTCGTGTTGTCAATGAGTCATACCGCAAAGCAGTGGGATCTTTCGAGAGCATCATATCTTTAAAGACTGCTAATGCTTCATGATGTTTACCAGCTCGCATAAAAAGTCCGCTGATTACATCATAATCCTCCATCTCCATACTCGATTTCATGTGTTTCCGAAAGTCAAGGTAGATATTCCAAGCTTCGAGCGTACGATTTTTGATCGTTGAGGCCAAGCAGCCTTGTATTGTGTGAATAAGAATACGGGAGCTGAGGGGATTGTTTGATCTTTGTATGACAGTTGATGCTGCCTTTCTGGCTTCATCAATGTTGCCATTCTCGGCAAACATCCGAGTACCAAGCTCCAAATATTGGTCTAAAAGACTTTCATCTTTAGAAAAAGTCTGCCAAGCGGATTTCCATAGATCAATTGCGGTCCTTGGATCTCCTTCGACAAAGACAGCTTCGATGTATAACAGCAATGTAGGCCCTCCGAGGTGTAAGCCCGCTTTCTGCATATCTAACCCGAGTCGTCTCACATGCGCCATGCGGTCCAAATTTGTCGGGTCTGGCAATGAAATATAACCCCAAAGAAGTTTCCACGTTTCTGGAGAAACTTCACCAGGATCTGACAATATAGTTGTTCGGCATAACATGTAGTGCTTCCATAACTTAAGCATCAGGTTTTCATTCATTTGAAAATTGCTACGACCATAATGATGATCAATTTTCTGCAATGTGCTATTCAAATCTTTTAAATGACGTCGGGCTGAGAGAGGGTATGGTTTTTCAGGAATTAAGATAGAATTTGGGTTCGATCTCGGATTGGTGATGGAATTTGACTTTGTTTCTGGGGCGAGAAACTGTTGTGTTGTGGAAGAAGTCGGAGGTGGAGATAGCTCTGTGGAATTCTCAGCTTCATCTACGACAATTAGCAGACGTACTATGAATCAGTACATTGATACTTGCCTTCCTCGACAGACTTTAAGAAGTAGTTCCGTATCTTTTGCCGGTCTTCTTCTGACATAGGGCCTGGCTTGTTGGTAATGCCTTCTAGTCTATCCACCTCGGCTTGCAAGCGTTCTATCTTTGCATCCATTGCATCTTCCCATTCCTCCATATGAAGGCTTGGTTCTTCATCTTCGTTAACCTCCTCAAGTTCTTCCGCCGAAACTTCCCCAATATCTTCTTTTATTTCTCGAACTGCCTCTTGAAGACCTTCCAGCAATTCCTCCTCTTCAGGATCAGCCTGCGCTTCTGTTCGAACACCATCCGGAGTCTCGTCATAGTATCTGTAAAAGGGTTCATCAGTCTGCTCGACTTGTTGCGTTTCCGTCTTCGAGGCAAGCGGTGGCACTTTCCCCCCTCTATCTATCGACCTCAGCGGGGTTTTTTGTGCCGTGAAATTTCTTGAAAGCCATGGTGCTCGCGGGGAGGTCTGTAGTTTTATTCGGCATGACTTGCATACGAAACCACGAATACTAGAAGTGAAATTGGTGGGTGGCGGCGGCATAAGTATTGATGTTGATGGGTCCAATAAAAAAAGTTGAGGTGCGGGAAACTTTTTTTTGATAAGCTATGATGCGCAATGCGCAGCATGACTTCGCTTCCCATTCGCGACAACAAATCACGATCACGTCAAAATCTCACGCGTACCCCTTTCTTTCTCAATCGATTGGTATCAATTAAAAATGTCTATAAACGGGGATACTAATAGTCTTGCTGGATTTGATGGAACAGAGCACCAGGTAAGTTGTATTTCGAATTCTACTCTATACCGAACTAAACCCCAATAGGCGGCCTATGTATTTACTCCTACTTCCGTACCTTCAGAAGATCTACTCCAGCGACCTAAGAAGCGCAGGAAGGTAGGAAAGGCGGCAACAAAAGCTCCTGAGCACAATGACGGCGCGGAGCCTTTCAAACTTGCACCATTATTTAATGAGAAGGAGTCTCATGAACTTTCAAATCTACGTTTGAATTTGTTTAATAAGCATTGGCCGGAAACAGAAACAAAAATTCAGGTATATATCCTAAGCTATAGGATCTCAACATTATGGCTGGCTAATACCATGATAGTCAATCCTGAATGAAGCAAATGAGGGCACTTTGTCAGAGGTCACATCTTTTGTAGAGAATGAAAGGTATGCATAATTTGGTATAATTAGTGAAATGGAGTCTGATAGACAGTCAAAGGAGCATAGGCAAAGTCCCAGCAGGGTTTATTGTAACTGGGCCAAATATCGCATCTCAAGGCTTGCTTTTTGAACAGCTTTCAAAAAGACTTTCCAACGAGTTTAATGGTCCTGTTGTCACTCTTAGATCCGGAGAATCGTCAAACTTGAAGGTACTACTCAAAAAGCTCATTAGAGATGTTACTCATCAAAAGTCACATGGCGAAGACGAGAATGACAATTTCCTTGAGCAAGATGTGAGTCAAATATTTCCAAACATTCACCTGGTATAGTCTTGCTGATCCTCCAGGGTCGTAAACTTCTGAACTATGATTTGGAAATCATTCATGGTTATGTTAAAGCCCACGGGTGTGATAAAGTGATCGTATCATTTCAGGACAGTGAAGCATTTGACTCTGGTCTGCTTGGAGACGCAATATCCTTGTTTAGGTAAGTTAATATATCTGTTCCTTCTTCTGTCTACTTTTTAATACTTAAGCCCTCAGCTCCTGGCTAGATCGCATCCCATTTCTTCTGTTGTTTGGAATTGCTACATCCGTCGAGTTATTCCAAGAACGACTTTCTCGTGTCGCTGCTCGATCTTTACATGGAGCACAATTCGATGTAGAACAAACAAGCTCCATCCTTGAAAACATATTCTTAAAAGTTATCGCTGGATCAGATGCTCCAATAAGACTGGGACCAGGCATTCTATCGAGTCTTATGGAACGTCAAACTGATCATGTTCAGAGTGTACAAGCTTTTGTTGGAGCTTTAAAGGTATTTCTTCTCTTGAATTTTAGACAATTGTTCACTAACATGGTTAGTATGCGTACATGTGTCATTTCTATGCCAACCCTTTGAGCATATTTCTGGGCCTCACAGACGAACTTGAATTGGGGCCCCTTTTGCAAACAGAGCATTTTGAAGCTATTAGAATGCTTCCATCATTCCAGAAATATACTGAACGTCTTGTTGATCAAGGCGAATTAGAGCGTGCCATGGGGTTGATTGACGATGATGAGCTCCTTCTGCAAGAGGTAGAAAGCTCTATCCAAGGCAAAGATCATGCGGTGCAGAAGATTCTCCGAATCATGCATATTCTAGTTACTTTGGCAGTCGAAATACCAGAGAAGATCGATCTCTATATTAAAGCATCGACTGGTTCATTAAGGAACTCTGAAATTGTGCGTTCGATTGTGGATTCAATCAAACGCGCCAGTCTCGATGATTTTCTAGGGATCATTACCTCACTCAAAGAAGCCGTAGAGGGTGGAAGCACTGAGTTGGATCTTGAATCATGGTCGGAAATGGAATCGGAATTCTATTCAGAAATTGCGAGTATCAGGGAAGACGCTTCATCACTCGCAGGCTCGGATACAGGAAAGTCTATCCGCAGCAGTTACAACAAAGCACTCCGCACTACAATCGTTTCACAGAAGGTCCAAATTAGCCAGGATAGATCAGTACTCACAAAGCAAGACAAAGAGTTCACAGCGCTTGTTGACCGCTTAATTCAAGCCATACAGAATTTCGTAGATCTGGACAAATTACAAGATCAATTCGTTTCCGAAATTTGGCTCTACGATCTCAGATTGCCATATCTAGATGCCTTTACACCTAAACCCCGATTTACAATCGAACGGGCCCTCTCCTCGCCGTACGACTATCTTTCTTGTGCATGTTGCGACCCCACGAAAGAGGGAGCACTAATGTCTCATCCGCCTACTGCCATTTTGTACAAACTGTTCTTAGAAGCAGGAAACTTGATTAATATTTTCGATCTCTGGACGGCTTTTATTGCTAACCTGGGGCCGGAATATGACGAGGGTGACGATAGCGAAAGACAAGCTTTGATGTTATTTTATAGAGGACTTGCAGATTTGAAATTGTTGGGCATGATCAAGCAGAGTAGAAAAAAGACGGATCACTTGACGAAATTGGCATGGAAGGGTTTGTAAACTTGGGATCACTAGGTGGCAGGACATGAGAAATGATTAAGAATGCAGTTAGAATATAATTATATTAATCTTCGAATGCAAATTCCCAAGGCATCAAACAAAACGTATCTAGTCGTCCATCAGCACCCAAACCTAATACCACTGATTCTTATTCCTAAACATCTCCTCTTCGGCCCTTCGAACCCTCTCCTGTCTAACTCTCCTCTCAATTTCCTCGACACTCTCAACCGGACTTTCACACCCTCTCAACCCAATAAATCTTCCCAACCTCCTCCTCTTGGTCTCCAAATCCGCATTCACGTCCCAATACACCGGACACGGATAATGCATCGTCCACTGACACGGAGTGCGCTGATGATAAAAATGCGCGAGCTCGTCTAATTCCGTGGATGTGAGAAGCCAGAAATTCAGAAGTTTCTTGGGAAACGAGGGATGGATTTGTCCTGTTGTGAGACGCACGAGTGGGGCGAGGGGAAGTGCCATTTGAGATATTTTGGCGGCGAGCTCGGGATTGGTTTTGCTGAGACGGGTTATGGTTGACATGGTTGAGTTGTGGTGTATCTTGTATGGGGTTTGAGGTTTGTGGGGTGATAAGATGAGATGAGATGAGTGATACGTTTAATATGTTTTGGTTTTGTTGCCGTACAGTGGCTAGTTACGACTGATTTGCGTGATGGTTCTGGTGGTGATAAAGAGTGTGAAGCTGTGAATGTATATAAAGATACTTCCGCAATGAATCAGACGAGGGAAGAGTATATAATTCTATGATAACTATATTCGCAAAGGGATGAAAAAGATTATTCGCAAAGCTGCCAGCAGCGTAAAGATATAAGTCTAGGATGAAAATCAAAGTATGGAAAAAACGAAATATAGGAAATAGTGCGGATGCCAGATACCGATAGAGATGAATAGATAAATAGGGGAATGGAAGGTTCTTGTAGTTTTTGTCTTGTTATGAGACTTCATTGTGTTGAAGAGTTTCTTTGTATTTGAGTCAACTTGGCTTTGTTACAGGATCATGTCTTTGATGTTGTTGTATTCTGAGATCTACTTTTGAGACTTGAGTGAAAGGACTCTTGAGACAGCCTTTGTGGAAGGTTCTGACAAGGCGTTTATGATGAACAGTCTCAAAGAATCTCTGTAAAAGTCTAAAATAGCAACAACTAGAAAGACGCCTAGGTCCAAGTACGAATATGTCCACTACAGAGAATGCTCAAATGTTGCAGCGGGAACCACTTCATATAATCATGTGATATGAAGAAAATGAGAAAGCTTGGAAGTAAATCGTACAAAAATCGAAAGGCCCGCTGGCCCTCTGGGAGCTAAATTTTATATTGTGTTTAACCAGTAGGTTGGACTGGCTACTACAAATCTTGATACACCCCTCATAACCTATGCATGCAATATCTTACAGCCGCAAAAACGCCAGACACCAAAAACGCCTCGTGCGAGCAAGATTCATGCCATTGTACAGTGCCCAGCAGCTAATAAAACACGCCTTATTTCTTTCCCTTCTTCTTCCTGCTGGGGCTTCCTTGTTCGCTAGCTGCTGGCCCACCTCCTTGAACTAGAATGGCATCCTCGTCGCTCATAACACTCTGGGCCTTGGTAGGCGAGGTAAACTTGGATGCCTTGGCTTCTGCTTCTTGATCTAACTCTTTCATAAATTCTGACTGGATTGAGGCTCGACGTTTCTCCCACCACTCCTTCTCAGATTGGGTCCTGGCTTGTATGTCATCGAGGCTCTTCCTGAACTGATTATTCGTGTAGATTTCGTTGGCCGACTGGAAGATTGTCTGTCCCCAATTTGGTGCCAATCCATTTGCCTATTCATGGTTAACTATATTCAATTTCACCAAGCTACTAGTGAGAGAAAGCTCAGCTTACCTCCATAACCACATCCCTAAGTTCCTCTTCCATTTCTTTCTCTGCTCTCAAGAATCTTTGCCATAGATCATCGCCAACGCTCCCCCTCTGTAATAAGGTACTGCATGCTTGCTTCGCTGTTCTAATGTGAATAATTCGGTAAATATCTTCGACAGCCCTTCTTAGTAAAGCCGCTCGAATAAGCTCCGCTGGTACTTTTGGCGTTTTCTCGTCCCCCTCTTCTGGCTCAAGATGAGCTAGAGAAAAGTAAATGTTCCTTTGCAGATGGTGTGGGAACCAAGGCGCAAGAGTCGCAGATTTAACTATGAATACCTGTTAACTTTGCGCATAATCTAAAAGCCAGATTTAACTAACCTGCTATGCGCTTTCTATATAAGGACGAAAATGTTACTAGAGATCCGACGAGGACAACGACATATGCGAAAGGAAGTATTAGACCACGAAGAGTGGTTGCGTAATCGAAATCTTTGAACATGGTTGCTGCTGTCACTATGTCGAACACAAAACAACACTCTTTGAGCTTTCCCAGAGATTTGGGATATATCGGATCGAAAAAGGGCCAATGTCTAGGAAGGGTGGATGAAGTTTTCCGACAAAGACGGGGCGATTGTTGGAGGTACCAAAATAGTAGATATCCTCGTAGGTGTGGTGTGTCCTTTAATTAATCGTTGTTCTATCGCATTCTGCCACTTCAGGACAAATAACCTTAAAGTCACTTTTTTTGACTAAGAAGACAAGCACTTCGCTAACAAGTGAATGACCAATGAAATCAATTTAACCCGATCCAACTATTTTGGAGAATCACTTACATTCCATCCTTGTAATTCTTATGTAACACAATATTCACAATATTTATACCAAATTCTTATAATTCTCATAATTCTTGTATTGCTTATAATTTGTGTTTACAAAGGCGGTGGAATTACCTACCTAGGTAAGTGGCATCATGGCAGTTCCTACTAACTGTTTTCCGTAGGCTACCGAATTCTGACGTACAGTTACTTATTAGAGCTTACCTGGTAGAGCTTCGATGTACACAATTAACAATCCAAACAAACCAAACCCAACATCTCAAGATCAAGAATTATGAGAACCTCAAGATTTTGTTCTTAATACATAACCTTTTGTTCTTTGTTCTTTAATACAGTACTTCTACCTCGAATACATTTCATCTATTTGAATAAACTTGAGAACCAAACTTGACAAGAGGTCAAGATGCTATTAAGATTCCGTGGTCCTGATGGAACAGTCCGTATTACTGTTGAAGCAAATGAAACTTTTGCTCAACTTGGCGACAAGGTTGGTCTAAGATATGCTGTATGTATTGCAGTGAGCTTCTGCTAATATGCTATAGCTTGTAAAACTCCTACCTGAGAACATCGACCCAAAGACATTAACACTTTCAAATGCGCCGAGTGGTGGTGAGGTCAAGTCTCTGGTAGAAATTGCAAGAGCCAAAGTCTCGCAGATTGGTCTCAAGTAAGTCGGGTATATGTAAAGCCTCTAGAATGTTGTATTGACCAACTGAAGGAATGGTGATATGGTATTCATAAATTATAAGCTCTTGGATAGTCTTTCAAATGGCAATGCTACCCCTTCCACCTCGACTGGTCCTCCATCTCAACTCGCCTCCTCAACAAATCGTTTAAATGGACACGTCGTTTTACCAGAATCAATACCTATCGATGTTCCAGCGCAAGAAGTAACTTCGCCATCGGAAAAGATCAAGAACCCGTGGGAATTAGTCAAACAATCCGATCTCGATAATAGGCTAGACAAGAAAGATGGAAAAATCCCAGAAAGAAGATAAAAAGATGTGTCGACATGGTGAAAAAGGAATGTGCGACTACTGTATGCCGTTAGAACCATTCAATGCGGAATATCTGGCCGAGAAAAAGATCAAGAATCTCTCGTTTCACTCGTATCTGCGAAAGATCAACTCGGCGACCAACAAACCAGAGCTAGGAAGTTCTTTTATGCCACCATTGACGGAGCCGTATTACCGTGTGAAGAAGAACTGTCCGTCAGGACATCCTCAATGGCCCGAGGGCATTTGTACTAAGTGCCAACCGAGCGCAATTACTTTACAGCCACAAGCATTCCGCATGGTGGATCATGTCGAATTCGCTCAAGCAAGCCTCATCGAAAACCTACTCCAGTTCTGGAGGGCGACAGGTGCACAACGTTTTGGGTATTTATATGGTCGCTACGAGGAGTATGCAGAGGTGCCATTGGGAGTCAAGGCTGTTGTGGAAGCTATTTACGAACCGCCACAAGTTGACGAACTCGATGGCGTCACATTAAATGAATGGGAATCCGAAAAGGATATCGACGAGATTGCGAGATTGTGTGGCATGGAGAGAGTCGGTGTCATCTGGACTGATCTCATTGACTCAGGCGTTGGAGATGGCACTGTCTTATGCAAGAGACATATTGATTCATACTATTTATCATCTCTGGAAATCGCATTTGCGGCACGTTTACAAGCGAAGCACCCAAAGCCAACGAAATGGAGTGATACGGGAAAATTCGGGTCCAATTTTGTTACCTGTGTAGTGACAGCCGATGAGACCGGAGGAATCGCCATATCTGCATATCAAGTCTCCCAACTCAGCCCGTGGAAATGGTTCGAGCAGATATTGTCGAACCATCCGCCGATCCTGCTGTGATGATCGTTCGCAGTGAAGGAGATGATGATTCCGATACGAGCGCACGATACATCCCTGAGGTCTTCTTCCGAAAGATTAACGAGTATGGTAGAAGCGTTCAAGAGAATGCTAAGCCATCTTTCCCTGTAGAATATTTACTCGTCACATTGACTCACGGCTTTCCTAGCGATCCTAAGCCAGCATTCATGGCTAAGAGTTCTTTCACTATTGAGAATCGTTTGGTCCTTGGCCAGGAACAAGATCTCAAGGACGTTGGAAAGCAATTAGGACTTGACAAGAGCGGACAACTCACTCAATCTCCTGATGGCGTCCTCGCGGTGTCTGACTTCCATCTCCTATGCTTCATCTATAGTATGGGTATTTTGAGCAAAGTTCGTACCAACTTTTTCTTTTTTCACACTCACAAGCATGATACTAACATAATCATTCGTAGGAAGAGATGGCACTTCTCTGCCGTGTGGCAACTCAACACGATTTAGCAGATGGATACCAATTGATAGCAACCCCTGGCTGGGCAAATTTCCTTGCAATTTTACAATCGACTGGTGAGCGACCCCCAAAACGTCAGTCGCCGTCCGATGACGATGGTCCTGCGGAGCGTCTTGCTAAAAGGGTTGGCGGAGTTAGGCTAGATTGAATAAGTAGTCTACTCCTGGACTATTTTGTTCTTTTGAGGCTTATACTCTGATTGTGATAATAGGTTTCTAATCGCCAAAGCGTCTCGACGACTATTCAAGTCTATAGGGCAGAGGAGAAAGAGGATTGATAGGGAGGTTTACAACATGAATTATTGGCGTGTACGAAGGGGGGCCAAATTAAACAAAACGACAGGGCAATGAGGAACTTTAGGTGCTTGGTGGATAGAGCGGTGACTCTGGTGTTAACGAAGGCATGCATATATGGCGCAGGATATCCCGGATAGGGAGAAGGGAGAAGCAAAACATCAGACAGATATATTTGTTGTTGGGATATATGACATATTATAAATTAAATCAATTATCACAGTCACGTTTTCTGTGGATGAGAATGCGATGAATGGTCTAATGTATTTCTTTGCCTTTTTTCTTCTGTCTCCCGTAACAACCTCAATTGTGTAGTATCTAAGATTGGATCAGATTTATTAGCTCACGTAATTCCCAAGTCCGAGAGAGTAAGGAATGAGACTTTCTAATGGGAACGTGTCGATATCTAGCACTCACAAAGACTTTAAGACAGCCCAGATGACTGAGGCATATGTATGAACTCTGCCTTGTGACAAATGCTCAAGATTGTTTTAACTTAAAAGTACGTAGTAGTCAGACAGTTTCTCGCGAGTTCAAATTCAAATTCAAGTCCAAGTCCAAGTTCAACCTAATTATATAATACTATATTTCATTGATAAATGCTCTCTAAAATACTCGAGAATTATGTTATGAGCATCGACATGCATCATTAGCCATATAGCTCGCTTCTCATGAAGACACATAATGAAGAGAGGTTCATTTGAAAGACGAGGGTTAAATTTGAAATTGGAGAGGTTGTACTGTACTTATCAGTTAGGGATCCTTGCAGTTGTGGGGGTTTGGATGGAGAAATGGGAGGGAAGAGCTGATGAATGGGTGATTTGATTTGGAAATTGAAGATGGGAAGGCCTGGGTTGCTTGGATTGGATTGGATTGGATTGGAACGCAACGGAGTTGAGAAGGGGGAGTTAGTTGTAGTTGTAGTTGTAGTTGTAATTGTAGTTGTGAAGTTGGCGGGCGTATGCGTTGGTGAGAAAATGGTCGTGCAATTGATGATTGACTGGGTTCCCTCGGGGGGTCTTTAAGGTGTTGATATACTTGGTGTGTGGGAGGAGGTGGAAGAGTGGGTTTGCGGGAGGGTTGGGCTGTTGTGTTGTTTGATTGGAGATGGGAGATTGGAGGGAGCTAGTGGTTGTTTTGTAGTTGCTTGTGTGTGTGGTTGTGTGGAATTTTGTTTGGGGCGAGGATTTGGACATGCTTTGAGAGTGTTGATGTAGGTTTTGAGGAGAGAGGGTTGGAGGGTTGTTGTGGATGTGAGTTGTTGGTGGTGCTTCGAATTGAACCTCGCAGACGGAGGCAGAAATCAGATACTGTTGTGGCTTACGCAGTAACTGCAGTCTAGTATTGAAGTAAACCAGATGGTGAGTTCTTTTAAACTTCCGAAACATTTATAACGGAGGAGTGGTTCTATATTTTAGAAGGAGCGATATACATGTTCGTGAAAAGAGTCGAGCAAAGGGCAAGGACGACCGACCAAATAAAGGAAAGAACGATTGGGAAATTTTTGGAAGACTTCCTGATCATTCCGGAAAAAAGAATCTGTTCTTATTCAAACATATCATTGTAATTAACACCGTCATTATTTTGGCAGCCGCTCATTTTGTCGCTCATTTGAGATTATTTTTAATCTTAGAACACCTCGACCAGATACCCATCTCCTTTCCATCAAAACAACTCCATGACAGCACTCCGACTCCAACCCTATCTAGTTAATAACTCGCTCGTTCCAACAAAAGAATTTTCGGCTCGATGCCCAATCTTGAAACAAGCCAATCATTCGGGTTGGAGACTCCCGCTACATCTCTTGGAGCTCCTTCTCGTAGTTCCAGTCCCGAGAGTGATACGTTGAGCCCGCCACTCTCATCTGGCTCTTTCAAGCGATCACTCAAAAGTCGTATTGTGCCACCGACGTTAGTTGGCATTTCAGAGGAGGGAGTAGTGCAGAAGTTTGTTAAGATGACTCCGACTATGAATGTTTTGGGTAAGGCAATGGTTTGGAACTTACCACTTTTACTCAATATGAAGCTGTTCCTCAATTGATCGATATTTCTATTCCTTCAAAGGATAATGAAATTGGTAATTTTTGATCCTAACCGGGTTCTTGTTCGAACTGACTTTTGAATATTTAGATACCACAGAAGCTAGTGAACAGCCTATACTCATGATACTCATGATGACGCGTTCCGCCAGTGTAGGATCACAATCTGCTCCCGGTAAGAGACCAAAAGTCAAGACATACAGACCCTCTAAACCTTTGGCACATAAAGAGGGGCGCAAGTTTAAGCAGACTGAGAACGAAAACGACGACATTTTTGAAGACGCACTTGTTGAATCAAAAACCTATATAGAAGCCTACTCTAATTTCAATACTGCGCCATCAACACCAACAAAGCGTTTGTCAGCGACTGAGAAGTTTGATATGGATGGATCACACGATACTAAGCCCGAATTCCCCACTGGGACAACTATTAAAGACTTTGGTGCGTTGCCCGACCATCTTAGAGGGCCTTGCCTTGAAGTCAGCCCTAGAACTAGCCTTTTAGATGGTCCATCTGGTGTTCCGAACGTGGATAAACTTTTGTCTATGAACAAGCGTGATTGCTCTCTAGAATCATCGCTCATGAGACCTCTCGAAGCAGTACCTGAAGGCTCGATAGCAACATCATCATTGCCAGAGGTGCCGACAGAAGTAACGGAAGACACCATCGGACAATCGGATGGTCCTGCTCAAGTTCCATCTATTGCAGCTATTGAACCAAATGTTGGTGGCGATTCTCCAATTCCAGAGTTGCCCGTCGCCCCAATTGCGATAGATAAGAAGGATGAAAAGCGCACACATAAAGTTATTAATAAGTTTCGATCGGGAGTACGCAAGGGTAGATACCGTTGCCTAAGAACACCTGTATTGGTGGTGATTTTAGGAAAGGAGCTTTCAAAGCCAACCAAAGTAGCCATTCAGAATATCGCAAACGGATTGCCGTCAGGAATTGGTGATGTAAATCCCCTTCCCGCGTGATAACGCGGGATGTCTTTTAATTCGAGAACTGAGGTTAATGAAAAACATAAGATGCAAACAACACTTGAGCCATCGGTCTCGCTTCATACACTGGAACAACTTTCACCTACTCCAGTACCAGAGGACCGGTGCTGTCCTGAGAGCCCTACACCTTCGTCAGAGAGCCATTGCTGTAGCGAGGATTGGAATTGAGAGTTTGATAATGATTGAGAAGATGAAATGGCGTGTTAGAATGGATATTGTCATACACCCTAATACAAGAAACCTGTGAACCTTGTTCAATGATCTCCAATGATGACCTGTGAGACGTCCTAGTGCTCTGTAACATTTTCGGTGGGCCATTATGAGATGAGCTCTCCTTGGTGAAATTTGACCGTGAAGTACACACGTAGTTCAATCACCTCTCAGCACAGAATGCTGAGTAACGAGGAGAGCAGCTGGATTTTTTGCAATTGGAATTGGGCATCCCTTTGATGCGTCCGTTTGTAGATAGCCATTTGTTTGAATTACCACGACTATGAAAATCGTACCTCGAATAATTCATACGCTCTAGCTCATCGTACAAAGTAGAGGCTAACCAGTGACAACGACGTGTAAGGTTTGTAGACAAACTCTAAAAGCAGTATTAAAAAGGCCTTCAGTACTTCGAAGATAGTTCTTATGTTCATATTGTATATCGTATATCGTATTTTGTAATGAGTTATGTACTTTTTTTACTCAAAAACATGAGATATAACGAGTGAAAATTGATCAATACAATTGCCATCCAAGCCATCCAGACCAGACCAGACTCACAAGTTCCACAAACCAACTCCAACGCGATCAACCCCACTATTTCCCCTCCCCCCAACCAATCCGTAGCTCACGCTCAATCGACCCCACCCGACCCCTGCAAAAATCAATGACAACCTGATATATATTAAAACGTCGGCTTCGTCAAACAAACATGCCAAACTCCAGTGACGCGTAAGTTACTGCCTCCATTCCAAAAATGAAGGTACACCATGGCTAATATAACAATTATAGAGTGGTTAGCGTGTCGTTCTTATATTCTTCCCCTTGTGGATCAATATGAAGTTATGCGAAAGTCGTGGGTTCGACACCCACCTGGAGTATCAATCTCTGGTAGACACCAAACAACAATCTTTTTTTGATTTCTTCTGCATTTCTTTTTGCAGATTTTGGGAGCAGGTGGTTGTTGGGTTGGATGATGCTCTACTCTTTTGGGGGGTTGGATTTGTGGTGTAAGTGATAGGTCCACCCATTTTTGGGTTTGGTGGAATGTGATAATGGTACTTATCTATACGTCTGCTTTTGAGAAGGTATCAAACTTAAATTTAGGATATGTCTTCTCGGAGAGTAGTCGAATACTCTCTGAGAGAGCTTTACACTTGGTGGTTACCTAGGTATCAAAGATACAAGCCTGCGGGACGTTCTCTTAGTTTTTGTATCGAGGAGTTGCAACTGATTAAAATCGCATGATAGAGATATCTGCACTGCACAAAAATGATCAAGCAACTCTAATAGAAGTCTGTATTGATAAACAGAGATTGAAGCATGTAAAGCATGACACCACCCCCGTATATATCTCTATATGAACGGCTGTGCTCAAATGTGATAAATCCATGAATAGTGGCCTGAGATCACGTAAACCATGCTGGGTATTTGGCATTCTCAAAACAAAACAAGTCTTGCTTGACTCGATTATTCGACGCTTGTCTCCCAAAGATCCATGTCTTCAACCTGTTGTTCTTCTCTCTCAGACGCTCGCCCTGTCTCTCCCCGACACCAAACCCATCCTCCTCCAGAACACTCATTCCCTTGACTCCATAATTTAAACTCTCAATGACATGCCGTCTCTTTCGCAGCCGAAGTATTCTTTCCAAATATCAAGAAACCCACAAACGCACCAACTCCTACTGCAATCATAACCCATCCATTATATGTCATGAAAAGCAACCTAGAACTTCATTAGCAACCCTCCACACACAAGACAGAGTCAAGACTTACATCAACATAAATGCGTAAAAATACTGGAAAGCATATAGCGCAGCTTTAATAACATGTGCTCTCTGACCTACTTCTTCTTGATTGCGTCCTGCCCAGAGAAAAGGCGTATTTTCAGTAACGTCATCCACTTAATTCACACACATAGTCTCAGCTTTTCATTCCACTGTTCCGGCATGAAAGTCGAGGGAGGAAAAGCGCGCATGGGGGAGAGCAGAAAAGTAAGAGAACTTACGGGTTATAGAGCCCTGTTGTCTGTCGACCCAGGATTCATAGCGACGGGTTAGGGAGCGAATGCCTTCGTATCCGGCGGTGATGGCGACGACGCCAACGAGCGAAATGAGGAGGGAGAAGGTGGACCGGATGTGCCACCAGCGGAATATTATACAGAGGTTATTGGTGTCCCAGGTGAAGAGCATCTGCAATTGAGGTTAGTGATGGAGAGATCGGGAGAGTCGAGGAGATTGAAAACGGACGTTCATGTTACATCTATCTCCTCCCATATCCATTCCCATATCGTGCATGCTGTGATCCATATGCGAATGATCCATTGTGAATTTGAATGTTACAATAACTTGTATGTGATTGAATTGATCGTTCTCAACGAAGTAGATGGTAGGCAATTCGAGGTTGCGAAGATCGGTAAGATTTCAATGAACGAAGATGATTCTGAAATGGATAGTAAAGTGATTCTATATATATCGCTATCTACCTACTCGTACACTGCTGTTGGAAGACGGGCGTAACTCTCTAGGGGTTTTAATTGCACCAATTACAGAGTGTTATGAATCGATGGTGCAATGGTCCCCTAATTTACCTTCTCAAATGCGCTCAAACCAAGCTAAGAAAGCGCCAACAGCTCTGTCTGACAAGCTCCATGTGAACACCAAAAGCGGTACGTTGAATCACTCAAACAGAATCATACATTGATGAAAACATTTATTATATTGCCATCTCACAATTATACTAAATCAAAGCTAACAAATGTAATCATCCCTCCTTTTTGATCTAAAATAATGATTGTTTGATTTGATATTGAATAACGAAAAGAGTGTACGAGTCCTCCGTAGATTCCCAGACAAGCTCGAGACAAGCTGCACTGCACTGCACTGTTCTTTATCAGATAATGCACGGACATCGGTGTTACAGAAGATAAGCTATTTCACACTGCCGCAACCGGTTTAATCGGATGTGAGGGGCAATACTCATCAATTACTAGGTAATATCGTAATCAATGAATTTCTAAACTGAGCTTGGCAACACTCTACTCTACAACCTCTATCATTTCGTCCAAGATGCTCACTAGTCCTTTAAATCTGCCCAAGTGGTAAGCAAATTTCAAGATCATGAAAGGAATCTGTTTTAACAGCGACTCGATAGGCTCGAAGAGAACTCTCATCTCTTGAAGCCTCCCATTAACAATTACTGCGTGTACAATAAAGATGTGACGGTCATGGTAGGATCACCACCCCCCATCACTGTCTCAGACATTTCTAAACTCCGCAGATCGTAGGAGGCCCCAATGCACGAACCGACTATCACATAAACGAGACTGCAGAATGGTTCTACCAATACAAGGGAGCTATGATGTTGAAAGTGGTAGATGAAGGCGAATTTAGGGATATTATCATTGGGGAAGGAGAAATGTTTCTATTGCCACCAAATACGCCGCACAATCCTGTTCGATTCGCAAATACAGTGGGCATTGTACTAGAGCAGCCAAGACCAGAGGGTTCGTTAGATAGGTTGAGGTGGTATTGCACAAACTGCCGCGAGGTCGTGGAGGAAGCAGCTTTCCATTGTACAGACTTGGGCACGCAAATTAAGGAAGCTGTGAATAGCTTCAAGGATAGTGAGGATAGGAGGAAATGTAAGAAATGCGGGACAGTTGCGGAATCAGCGCCCCCGGTAGGATCTATCAAGGACCCAAATATCGCTTGATTGATGAGAAAAGGAATAATGAAATAACGAAGTCTTTCGCATGAAGTCTAAACTCTTATACATATTGTCGGGTATCCTAGCGTAAACAACCTTCGTAAATTGCTCAAGTCTCCTTGAACTGGTATGTACTCGTCGACTCTTCAACTGCAACTTCAATCTTTCCTTCCTCCAACTCCTTACCCCCAACACTAATGCCGACTCGCATAACATCTCCGGGCTTCACAGATCCAACTCCCTTTGGTGTACCAGTCAAGACAATATCTCCCTTCTCCAAAGTCATCACCTTTGAGATATCGCTCAAAATTCTAGGGATTCGGTATAACATCAATTCTGTAGAATCCTTTTGTCTGTGTTCGTTGTTGACTGTAAGCCACACGGTAGCGTTATGAGGATCCGGAATTTGTGATTTGGAAATGATGTTGCTCATTGGGAGGAAGGTATCAAATCCCTTCGCGATATCCCATGGGAGACCCTTCTTCTTTGCTTCGTTTTGGGCATTGCGAGCTGTCATATCAATGCTCATTGCGTAGCCTGTGTGATTCAATGATTAGAAATCAAATTGAGTCATCCATTCTAGAATACGCACTTTCGATAGAATCATAAGCTTCTTTCTCATTCTCCGGCTCGAGATTTTTGACCTGTTTCCCCATGATCAAAGCCAATTCCACTTCATAGTGCAAATCTACACCCTTTGGTCGAATGACAGATCCGCCATTTGGAGGGAGAATTGAGGAAGGTGGCTTGAGGAAGAAGAATGGCTGTTTGGGCTTGCTATTGTTCAATTCCGTGATATGATCTCTGTTCTTCAATCAGTTCATCTATACTGTATGCTTTGAATATACCCAATTGAGGGATTTCCAGAAGCAATTCATGGTCGAGGAGGAAGAGGAGTGGGGGTAAACATACGCGTAGTTTCTCCCGATACATACAACTTTTGAAGCACTCTTGAAAGGAGATATGGTGGCAATGCCGCGGCGGAAGATTAAAGACATACTGAATGAAGTATACCAAAATACAAATATCCAAACTTTTTTTATGTGCAATCAAAAGGTGTGGTTACTCGAAGCTCAAATATGTAAGCAATTCATGTGGAGATCTTGTGGTCACCCTTCAGTGGAGACCCCGCTCGGCCACTGACGGGACAAGCTTCCGGCAGCTCTGATCGGTTCCGAGGATTATAAAGACTTACATCTTTGTACGCGGTATTGCAGATATACTCCGTACATGATGAGATAGGTTCCTGAATGTGCAAATGGAACTTGGACAATACTTAAAATACCAAATTTTCAGATTCTCGAGAACTTCCAATCCAATATTGATTCGAATTGCATTTGAGCATCTAACTCTTGAACGAAAAATAACTATTCGCATCTGGCACTCCAAGCTTTTCAAGAGAACCTCTTTTTCTCACCTGCTGTCTCTTTTCCGCGTGTTCATGCAACGCTTTATCGACCCTTTCCTGTGACATTTTCATTCCCCTTTGACCCTTTTCTTGGAGCTTGTGTCGATTGTTATAATATGCTAGTAATGTCTTTGCGCGCATAAATTCTTCGTCTCTCTGTGATGTAATATGTTAGCTATCATTTCAATGCGACGGTGCAAAATCTATAACATACGCCACTACTTCTCCTTCTTTCAAGACGACGCTCTCGAGTCTCTCGGATGGATTCCTCGGTTTCTGGGAGATCAATTGAATCCATTGACGAGTGTTTCCTGAGCGGAGGAGACGGTGACTGGACAACAGAAGGTGGTGTGGGTATACGCCGACCGAGGCGATCAAATTTCGACGCTGGTTGTGAATGAATTGACGTTTTTCTTTCGTCTATAGTGGCCGATACGGTGGAGAGGCTGCGTAAAAAGGAGAGGGTAGCTCTCGGTGGCTGCGCATAAGACTGGTTAGCACGCATACTCAGAGAAACATCGATGTTGTGTGTGGGGATGCGCGTGGAGATGTGGGGAGCCATAGAATATAATGCAAGACTTTGGCATGCGGGATGTGATGGATTGATGGTGTTGACGAACTGCTTGCTTGAGGATATTAAGATCAGCGAGAACATGTGCGATCTGTAGCTTTGGCGGTGATGGATTCAATGAGGGATCCATTCTGAAGAGACTGTGAATTCGATACTGCGGATGTAATAGATTGTTTATTATTATGATTAATGATTAATATGTAAGGTCATGGTGAGGAGATGTTTACGAAAAAGGTGTAAACATTTAGCTCATGGGGTACCTTATCGGTTATCTCGGTCACTGCCGCGCATGTGCCGGTAGTAGATTTAAAGCGCACTCCTCGATAAGCGAGCATCAACATTACACTCTCCTTCTACTCAACTGAACCCTCTAGAGCAAGGTCAATTTCATCACATTGAAAAAGGCAGGACTCTACTTGTAGGACTATAGATCCATTTCATCAACCGGCTAGTTTCCCACCTTGTCTGCATGATCGCGCGATTAAGAGTTTTGTTGCATTTGGGCGCCTTGAAAGGAATCTTCAATTCTCATTGCTATCATAGGAATGAGATGAGGTTCAAATGTTGTATAACGTTAGTTATTTTCGCTAATTACTGCATATGTCGGCTGATATCCCAGAGATGGGTGGGCTGTGCTAACCGATCAAGCGCTCTCTAATAATAAAAGTCGCGACATAAAATTGTCTCCTTCCCTTCTCGTGTGATTGGAATGTTTTGATGAGATTAGCGTCCTGACACCAATTAAACAAAATTGTAGTCTACCAGACGTTGAAAACTGCAACATAGCCGCGACATCATCGCTAAGAGTTAATAGTAGAGCCTCTTTTGGCACACGCTCCCCGGCTAACAACCCTGATTCAGACACATTATGCGCAGCCATTTCTCTCACGGTACATGCATTAATCCATGTAGAACCTCTGGAGATGGAATGTATGAAGATAATAGCTTAACTTTGTGAGCTCTGACTTCGAATGCTGACCGAACACAGGGGGCCTGTGGCCACAGCTAGTCACTGCCATATAGCCCGGTAGATCTTATACTGGAAATGCTCCATATCGATGGATGCTATTCTGACCACTTAGGACGGCTCCAATCAATGTTAATACATCTTAAAGATTCATGTTACTGTTAAACTACATATCTTATCAAACTACCCGTTTGATAAATCATAGGTCAAAATTATCTGTTGATTAATTGACAGATAACTGTTGAGTCCGCGTGAAAGCATTTAACTACAAACACAAACAATCGAAATCTGTGTAATTTTCCGTGTGGGGGGTAGATACAATGTAATCAAGCGTATTTGTATTATAAGGGTTGAGAGTTATAAGAAACGAATTGGAAAAGAAATGGACATTGAATGATAACGATAAGATCAAAGCCATCTCACAATCGTCTGTTCTTAACAAATCGGTAATTTGGAGTATCACCAGAAACATTTTATCTAAATGTTATAGGATAACCAATCATGTGAGAGTCTTCTCCGAGAGTTAATGTTATAACGGACTCCCCTTTCGAAGGTATTAAGTAAGCGAAACTCAGCCGATGACTAGTGGCTTTCTTAGATCAACATGGGTAGCATTCGATATCTACATTTCCCGAAATGGTTGCGAGATTATAGCTAATGAGGAAGAAATGTGTGATGCTCATTGAAGATCCATGTATCAAAACATTCACATAGACCCCACGTCTTCCTGCCACGCACATATGAATGATGCACGAAGAAGAATTTTATCATCCGCCGGCATCGCTCTGATGATGCCATGATGGTATGAACCCCTCGTTCAAACATGTGGTAAAGGCATTTGGTAGGTTGCCTGACTAATAGCCCGAGTTTATGAATTAGATGAACTACAGTAGATGAACTAGATGAACTAGATGAATTAGACGAAATAGCTCCCGTCCCCCAACCGGCACTGATTTTCTTTTGGCATATCATGACGCCAATGAACCAATTGGTAAATTCCAATATTAATTGAGTGACTAATAAATTTTGATTGGTTCAATTCCAATCTTCTTCACACCCAATCTGAAATAAATCCAAGATATCCTTTGTTGGTTGGTTGAGATTGTCCATGCAGATCAAAAAGCGGGGCTAAGAAAATTTTGGTTCCAACCAGCCGGTCACACAACTAAAAAAGACTCACAGACTCAGACTCACATCACATATAATAAGAATAAAATCTTCAACCAGAATCCAGAAAACCCTCATTGACACAACACATCTCCAAATTTAACAAATTACACGATACCATTTTGATTTCCCCAACTTAATCGACAATGCTTAGAGACTTCGAACCTTCCAAACTCCAGGAATAACTTCAATCTGCTACAACAGAGGGGTTCATTATTCCTTTATTTACAAACCGACATCCAAAGCTTATCAGAAAGCTACCCTAGGTAGATTCACAACAAAAAATATCCATTGTCCAAAACTCACATTCTTTGCCCACAAAAAGCCAAATCAATTTTGATTCAATTGGCAGGGTAAAGTGAAAACGGATCAGGTGGAAAAGTTACTTGAAAAGTTCAATTGATACCAGAATTCGATATCATGGCGCTCGCAAACCGCTTCGCATATCGATCTTCGTCGCTCCTTCGTCAATGCAAAGCTCCAGCTTTGCCTGCGAGAGCATTCACTACTAGAGCTTCCATTAACGGTCTTGTACACCGTCAACCGGCTCAAGTCTGGAAGAACAGCAAATATGCTCGACTTTTCTCCAGTTCGACACTCCTTAGGGATCAGTCACAAACCGCGCCCAGCGCTGAAGCATACTTGGCCAGTGGTGTTGTAAAGGGAGCTGCCAACCCAGTGAACGTGAAGAAGGTTCTGGTCATTGGAAGTGGTGGCTTGAGTATTGGTCAAGCAGGAGAATTTGATTATTCAGGTTGGTTCCCCAGATTTTGATCTTTGGCAGAATGAGTCATTCTTGGGCGTAGAAATCCCCTTCGTGCCAACTCACATCCAGGCCATGTATTATATCATGCTAACCATTTATTCAATCCAGGTTCTCAAGCATTGAAGGCCTTGAAAGAAGCTGGTGTAGCTTCTGTACTCATCAACCCCAATATTGCAACGATCCAAACTGCACACGTTCTCACCGACGAAGTTTATTATCTTCCCGTCACGCCTGAATATGTCACATATGTTATCGAGCGTGAGAGACCAGATGGTATCTTCCTCACTTTCGGTGGTCAAACAGCTCTCAACCTCGGTGTACAAATGGAACGCATGGGTATCTTTGAGAGATATGGTGTAAAGGTTTTGGGTACCAGTATCAAGACTCTCGAGACCAGTGAGGATAGAGATCTCTTCGCCAAGGCTCTTGGTGAGATCAACATCCCAATTGCTCAATCTGTCGCTGTATCAACTGTGGATGAAGCTTTGGAGGCCGCAAAGGGCATTGGTTATCCAATCATTGTCCGTGCTGCCTATGCCCTTGGTGGTCTTGGTTCCGGGTTTGCAAACAACGAGGAAGAACTTCGCAACATGGCTTCTAGATCTTTGACTCTTTCTCCTCAAATTCTGGTTGAAAAATCATTGAAGGGATGGAAAGAAGTTGAATATGAGGTCGTCAGAGATGCCAGTAACAACTGCATCACTGTCTGCAACATGGAAAACTTCGACCCTCTCGGTATCCACACTGGTGATTCTATCGTCGTCGCCCCTAGTCAGACTTTGAGCGACGAAGAATATCACATGCTTCGTTCAGCTGCTATCAAAATTGTTCGTCACTTGGGAGTTGTTGGAGAATGTAACGTTCAATACGCTTTGCAACCAGATGGATTAGATTACAGAGTTATTGAAGTTAACGCTCGTCTCTCCCGATCATCTGCTCTTGCCTCGAAAGCCACAGGTTACCCTCTTGCATATACTGCTGCTAAGATCGGACTCGGCCACACTCTTCCCGAGTTACCAAACGCTGTTACCAAGACTACAACTGCCAACTTCGAGCCTTCCCTCGATTACATCGTCTCTAAGATTCCTAGATGGGATTTGTCAAAGTTCCAACACGTCAAGCGCGATATCGGCAGTGCCATGAAGTCTGTTGGTGAGGTCATGGCTATCGGTAGAACATTCGAAGAATCCATCCAAAAGGCTATTCGTCAAGTTGATCCAAGATTTGTCGGTTTCCAAGGAGATAAATTTGATGACCTTGACTACGAACTCCAGAACCCCACCGATCGCCGTTGGTTAGCTGTTGGACAAGCCATGCTCCACGAGAACTATTCTGTTGATCGTGTACATGACCTTACCAAGATTGATAAATGGTTCTTGTACAAGCTTCAGAACATCGTTGATTGTACCCGCGAACTTGAGGATATTGGAAGCCTTGATGGATTGAAGAAGGAAATCATCCAAAAAGCAAAGAAATTGGGTTTCTCTGACAAACAAATTGCCAATGCCGTTAAGTCCACCGAAGATGAAGTTCGAGCCCTCAGAAAGAGCTTTGGTATCACTCCTTTTGTTAAGAGAATTGATACTCTTGCTGCTGAGTTCCCCGCAAACACGAACTACCTCTACACAACATACAATGCAACCACTCATGACGTCACATTTGAGGATAAGGGAACTATCATCTTGGGAAGTGGTGTATACAGAATTGGTAGCTCTGTTGAATTCGATTGGTGTGCCGTTAGTGCAACTCTTGCTTTGAAAGAAATGGGCAAGAAGACCGTCATGATCAACTGTAAGTTTTTTATATATATATACAACTCTACCTCCATGAATCAATGCTAACTTCTTGCAAGACAACCCGGAAACCTACAGCACTGATTTCGATACTGCCGACAAACTTTACTTCGAAGAATTGAGCTACGAACGTGTAATGGATATCTACGAACTTGAATCTGCCAGCGGAGTTGTTGTTTCTGTCGGTGGTCAACTCCCACAAAACATTGCTCTTCGTTTACAAGAGTCAGGTGGAGCCAAGATCTTAGGAACAGATCCTAAGGATATTGACAAGGCAGAAGACAGACAAAAGTTTTCTGCTATCTTGGACAGCATCGGAGTTGATCAACCAGCATGGAAGGAACTCACCTCAGTTGCAGACGCAGAGGCTTTCGCCGAGGAAGTCAGCTACCCAGTTCTCGTCCGCCCTTCATATGTATTGTCAGGTGCTGCCATGACTGTCATTAGAAGCAAGGATGAGCTTAAGGAGAAGCTCGAAGCCGCTAGCAACGTTTCCCCTGATCACCCAGTTGTTATCACCAAATTCATTGAAGGTGCTGAAGAGATTGATGTGGATGGTGTTGGATCGAATGGTCAACTCATTCTTCACGCTGTCAGTGAGCACGTTGAGCAAGCTGGTGTTCACTCCGGTGACGCTACTCTTGTTTTACCTCCTGCTTCCCTTGATCAAACCACCATGGATCGTGTCAAGGAGATTGCTGAGAAGGTTGCTAAGGCCTGGAGTATTACCGGTCCTTTTAACATGCAAATCATCAAGGCCCAGGACCCTGAGGGTGGCCTTCCACAATTGAAGGTTATCGAATGTAACTTGCGTGCATCCCGTTCCTTCCCATTCGTCAGCAAGGTTCTTGGTGTCAACTTCATTGATGTCGCTACCAAGGCTCTTGTGGGCCAAAATGTCCCTGAACCCACGGATCTCATGGCCATCAAGCGTGATTACCTCGCTACTAAGGTCCCTCAATTCTCCTGGACTCGTCTTGCTGGTGCTGATCCATTCTTGGGTGTCGAAATGTCCAGTACTGGTGAGATTGCTTGCTTCGGTAAGGATCTCGTTGAGGCTTACTGGGCTTCTCTCCAATCAACCATGAACTTCCGTATGCCAGAACCAGGAGAGGGTCTTCTTTTCGGTGGTGATGTCACCAAGACTTCTCTCACCAAGATTGTTGACTACTTGTCTCCATTAGGCTACAAGCTCTATGCTGCCGAACCTGAAGTCAAGAAGTTCTTAGAATCGACTGCTAAGGGTAATGTCAGTGTTGAAGTCATTGAATTCCCCAAAGAGGATAAGAGAGCTTTGAGAGAAGTTTTCAAGAAGTACGATATTCGTGGTGTCTTCAATCTTGCACTTGCCAGAGGCAAGACTGTTCAGGATACCGACTACGTTATGCGCAGAAATGCTGTCGACTTCGGTGTTCCTCTCTTCATGGAACCAAAGGTAAGATACAGTCAATTCATTCCTCGTACATCATTTACTAATCATTCTTAGACTGCTGAGCTCTTTGCCCAATGTATGAACGAGAAACTTCCTCGCAAGGAAGGTATTCCAGGAGAAGTCCGCAGATGGTCTGACTTCATTGGTGGTAAGCCATTGTAGATTGTTTATTCAATGAATGAGCAAAACAAATGGTCGCAAATATGTCTGTATATTTAGCCTGTAAAAGAAATCCAATAGTAATTATGATTTAAACTCAAGTTTACAATCCGAAAAGGCCAGCCAGAGGTGATGTCGTAATGTCTGAATTTTAGTGAAACCATGAATGCCATGCCTTCAGTCCGCAAAACCCACAAGACTGCAGAAGAAGTTAACTTAAGGGGTAATATACTTGGGCTGTGAAGTTAACTTAGCATCGAACAGGCTCTTCAAAAGTGTCAACTTCTATGGAGCTTGATGAATAAAAGCTTACATTCTGTTTGCCGCACATCTGAACTCCTACTGCGAAGCCCCTCGAAAAGCTCCAAATTTCCCCTCAACAAAAGCAGATTCAACTGAACTTCATACCTCTCCGGAACGCAAACAAGTTGCACTATTTCCCAAGCTCCGAAATACTACCGTTTAATGCAGTCCGCGGCGCTGATGTAAATTTGCAACGGTCATGATTTGTGTATTTGGCATCGGGGGTCGCAGCTGGTTTAACTTCAACACTTTCATGTGGTGTAGTAGTTTGTTGCATGTCTAATTTTTAAATGTTGATATGCAGCTTGTGTTTCTTTGATTCCTACAGGTGGGCCCTGAAGGTGAATGAGACTACGTTATGAACCATACTGGGTGAGAAGAGGCAGAGTTATAGTTTATTGTAGAGATTGCTGAGTTGTAATCTTTCGAAGAAGATTCAAGATACTTCGATTTGAATGATCCATTGGGTTCTTTGCGAGATTTGGCGGCGACTATGGTATCAGAACAGTATTACATTTCATGTGTTCATCAAATGTTGGGTCCGAGGATTAGATGTAGCATTGCGTCTGTTGCTCTTGCCTTTCAGATCGTTCGGTCTTGACTCTTGAAAGTTGGAAAAGGTGGAATGACCACAGCTGATTGGTTTTTGATGAGAGAGTTTACAGAAGTCTTTTGATATGGATGTTGTCAGTTTCTATGGTGTTGATCGCGAGCTTGAATTTAGAGTTGAATAATTCGGATTGATGTGTCAAATCAATACAAAGACTACAACAACAGTCTCACTATGCTCATCGCAGGACGGTCAAACATTCATGTTTGATTTAGAAAGAATTTGGATTTATGATAAAATACCAAAAACTCTTAGGGATACGAAGACTCAACACCTGTACGCGGTGCATCCTACAAACCTCCAGCTCTCTTTTGAGAGTCTGCAGAGCTAAGATTGAGTCGCAAATGGAATTAGAAGAATTAGAAAAAAAGAGATTCAGAGATATAGCGAAGGATTATATTACGATTTTACAACAGCAATACCTACAAAGAGTTGAATATCAGCTTTAGATACAGATATGAAGGTTACAGAAGCCCCGGTTAGATTCAACATCTATTATCGATTATTATTTCAAATACAGAAATATGATATGCAATAGGTCTCTTCTTTTAAAAAAATCTTTTCGATATAAAGCTTATTACTGCTTTACTTGTACTACAACCCTTTTTTATACCCTTTGGCTTTCAGCCACTCGAATACTACAATAACATAATACAGAGAATATCATTGCCTTCAAATTAATATTATACTCTAGGTATCGATACAGTACAACGTTTTTCTTTTAATTTTCGAATTTTCGAATTTTCTGAATTAATTTGTGTATAGGTAATAGAGCTTAGGATTCGACCCTGCCCCACTATTTTCAACAGTTTCGACTATATACATCTAATAAAAGCTAGAGGATATCAAGCTTATAAAAATATATAAAAGGTTAGTTTAAAAGAAATAAAGATAGAAAAGAGTAATGCTTTCTTCTACTACCTCACTAGTAAGAGAACCCTTTACTATATTGGAGGCAACTCGAAAGGGGATAACTCTTGTCTTTTATAGAAAAAGAGGAATAGCAAATTGGATTTAGGATTTTAAAAAGAGAAATTGGATATTGGAATGCTTTAATTGGATTAGGGGTAGGGGAAAAGTAAGGAAGAAAGTGTTTCAAAGAATGAAGACTATTTAATCTCTATTTGCACTCCGAATAGAGATCGGATATAGCATCCCAGTATTCGTTTTTACTCTCCCAAATTGAATATATCTATTGTAGATATCCACTAGCAGTTATTAGGTTCTTAAAGCCTAGCCGTTCTAAATAGTTTTGGACTGAGAAAAGGACGTTAATTAAATCAATCAATCAATCAATCAATCAACCAAAAACTCTTAGCTGGAAGGGTATTACAGCGCGGTGGGGCTTTTGTTGAGCGAGTACAGTTGGAAATCCTTTAGAGGAGAATCATTATGTAGAAATGTGAGTGTGCATAAAAATCATACTCGGGAATGAAAGTGAGCAAGTATTGATCAAGACACATATTAGAAGATATCTAGATAGACGGAAAGTTGACATGTCTCTTGTATTCGGCTGAGACGTTGGTCAACCTGGTCTGCTGCGACAGTTCTAAATCCTGAACATAACCCTTTCAGACTAGTAGATTCACCTATGAGCATCCACTCCGCAAATCCAAAATAAAAAAACTCTACGTACGTGTTCTTGCACTTCAAAATCTACCACAAATTTCATCTTCTGTATCTGTGTAGACCAGAGCTATAAAGACGGAGCTTCCTAAAGCCATGCGAGAAGGGATGTGAGATGATAAACTCAAGCATCATTTCTGAAAAAGGCAACCTCGCATACTTGTCTGCTATTCAGAGAACATCCCAAGGCATGTAATATGAATACTCAAGATGACCATTGAGGTAGCTACCGGAGGACTTGATACTGCAAGACTATGCAATGCCAAAGAAAAACGGCGTGAACGATCTAAACTGTTCAAAATTGTGTGCTAAAGGAATGGCGAGGACACTTCCCCTAATACATTTGATTCTTCTGCTTTCATCCCAGTCCTAGTAAAAGACTGTTTTATCTCCTACCAAGAATGATAAGAACATCTAGAGCTACCTAGGTACCTGAAATAGAGCACTGTTGGGTGAATGTGAAAAGAGTAGAAATAATGAACGATTCTGCGGCCCTGTCCATCTCAAGCTTCATGGTTCGACTTAGGTAATAGTCGCCCATTATCAGCGACTATGGCATACATCTGAAATGCAAAGATGATCATATAACACAATCAACATTGTGGAGAAAACCGATCGAATAGTTTCCAATTATTTTACCTCGCTCTGCAGGGCATTTTGACGTTTGCAACGAGTCATTTGGCGCAATGAGTGCTTACATAAGCTAGTCATGCTGTGTGACGATATGCGGTAGAACGCGCTTTATTTGCTAGGGTATTTTATTATCTTGCGAGCTCAATTCTCGACTCCAATCACTTTGTATAATACGCCCAGCCACATCTCATTCTAGTATCAATAGCCTCTAACAGCCGTCGCCATGAGTTCCGTCGATGCGAAGCTGCTGAAGTCGACCAAGTTTCCACCTGAGTTCAACCAGAAAGTCGACTTTCAGAAGGTTAATTTGGAGGTAATGAAAAAGTACGTTCAAACGAGCTTGGAGATACCAGACCAAGGGAATGGCAAGCTGACCCTATTGTGCAACGCAGATGGATCGCAGGAAAGATATCAGATATATTAGGAGCTGAAGATGATGTTGTCATTGAACTGTGTTTTAATCTCATTGAGGGTTCACGATATGTAGGTATTATCTGATTGATTTAATAGACACCAATCTAATGTGGACTGCAGCCGGATATCAAAAAGTTACAAATATCACTCACCGGTTTTCTCGACAAGGATACACCGGGGTTTTGCAAGGAGTTATGGAAACTTTGTCTCAGTGCGCAGGCCAGTCCTCAAGGTGTTCCAAAAGAACTTCTCGAGGCGAAAAAGTTGGAACTTATACAGGAAAAGGTTTAAATACTTCGGAGAGTTATGGGGATTACTGACTAACATTTGTTCAGATACAAGCCGAGCAAGCTGCAGATGATGCACGTCGGCGTCGAGAAGACGGTGAACGGAGAGACCGGGAAATGCACGCAATAAGAGATCGCGAACGAGGCGATCGCGGCGGACGTGGGCGAGGAGGAGGAGATAGCTGGCGCGGTGGTCGCGGGGATCGAGATTTTGATCGAAGTGGTGGCAGAGGGTTCGATCGAAGAGGTCCAAGATATTCGAGGTCGCCACGCGGAGCGCGAGACAATAGAGTCTATGTCCTACCACCTCGAAGCGACACTTACGTTCCCGCAACTCGTGATAGACGAGACGACAGGCGAAGACCAACTTTATCACGCTCTAGGTCGCCTTCAAGATCAAAGTCCCCATCACGATCTCCACCAAGACGACGCAGTCGGTCAGCTTCAGAATCTAGGTCACCATCACCTCGTAGGCGCAGGTCTAGATCGCCAGAAAGGCGCAATCGTGGGAGGGGTAGTAGGGGACGCGCGAGAAGCCCAGAGAGAAGACCACGCCGTAGATCTCCTTCGACCTCAAAATCACGTTCTCCACCTCGAAAGCGGAGAAGAGCTTCGACAGAATCCTTAAGTCGTTCTCCACCCCCAAAGTCTCGCAGATACCGTCGTCGCAACACGAGTTCTAGATCTAGATCTCGTTCCTCATCTCCCTCATTAAGCCGAAGCCCAACCCCACGGAAGAGAACTGTCTCACCCTCAAGTCCTGTCAGAAAAGATAGACGAGGCAGCCGCGATGTGAGGCGGCTATCGCGAAGCATTAGCCGGAGCGCCTCTCCCCCTGTTCGACGTCGTAGGGATTCTTCGAAGGATGAAGTCCGTAATGGAAGGAATGATAATGGAAAGAGACGTCGCTCTCTGCAAAGATATGAACCCACAAGCCGAAGAAGAAGGAATAGTTCTTCAAATGTAGAGGATGGAAGAAACAAGAGGGCTGATACTGAAGAAAAAAGTGACAGGGGATCACCAATTCGAGACGTCGAAGCCGATAAAACAGCTGGATCTGCCGAACCTGCACAGGTAGGTAGTGATTCATAAGGCAAGGGGAGAATCTCATTTTTATCGAAAGAAAACCCGACTAAGTTTACGTTCGTTATCTCGCTGACCCGTCCTTTTGGCATCAGAATTTGAGAAAAGATCCGCAGAAGTTAGCCGCCGAATTGCGAGAAAAATTGTTAAGGGAAAAGATTAAGAAGATGAGAACTTCGAGTTCCACCGCACATTCAGTAACTCATGCTAACGCTCATTGAGGAACATATCATTCGAATCAGGCATACAAGGACCATGGCATTAAGGGTATACTGGCACATAAAAGGAAATATATTTACAACATTAGTTCTACCTGCACAACGTGATACCACAACCAATTTCAGCCTTGAAAAATTGACCTGTCCCATACTATTTTTAAATACTTCAGATAATTGCTGTTCGAACTTGGGTAATGGCAGGTAGGTTGATAGTTCACATTGCAGCTGGACAATTAAGTCCGATTCAACTCGATTCAATATGTGTATTTGACAGACCTCTATAAGAGTCTAGTCCCAGGAAACTGGATGAAAATTGAACGCGGAGCTCCAGACATTTTTTTATTCCTGGTTCAACTTCAGCCCTATCTTAACCCGCAGCTTCGATAAGGATAAGACCAAAAAAGCTCTCATTCTGTCCGTGCGTCATTTTCCATTCTGTATCCCTTGCCCAAGCTTCCTGCTCCTTTTTCGGGGTTCAAACCATTATACAATCATATCTCAGCTATCTCGCGCAACTTACCAATCAATCATTATGGACTCGAATAAATCATCTACAGCTCTTGGTACTGCCTCGAAGGAAAATCGCACGGCGGACCCGACGGCAGGCCTTCCTTATTACGACGAAACACGACGAAAGCTTAAACAGTTATTAGAGCAAAAGAAGAATCTCGAGCGGGTTTTGGCGCTCAGTGAAGAGGCGATTTTCAGAAAGGAAACGGAGTATTTGGATGAGACCCCGCAGGGAAATATTATAACTGGATTCGATGGGTACGCGAAAGGTGCGAGCGTGGGTGGAGTGGGAAGGGGTGCTGGAACGGGGAGAAAGAGTACGGCGGTGGGAGGGACGGATAGACCGTTTAGTGGGAGTTCGCATAGTTGGAAGGTCAATGTTGTGAGTTGAGCAGTTTTATTCGAAAGATTGTTTATTGTGGTGGCAAGGCTGCAGAGACAATGGGTGGTACAAGAATTCGAACAATTGCGCATGCTATGCATAAAAGTCCGGAAGTTGGGGGAACTTGGAGGCAATTGGATGGGACTAACAGAAACCTCGGAATAGGATTCCCCACTACCTTCGGGAGCTTCAACGCCAGTTGCAGCTATGGCACCGACGCCCTTGTCTATGAGTTTTCCAAAGAATGGCGATGGCGCATCGAATCATGCGACGCCTACATCTGCTTCTTCGGGGAAAGGGAAAAAGAATAAGAAGATGGCGGGGGGTGACGATAGTGAAACAGATACGAGGGAAAATACGGGGAATAAGAAGGCGAGGACCAATTTTGGAGCTGCGAGGAAATAGAAGATGGATGACTTGAGTGGAAATATTGTGTTGTGATTGTTACATTTTGGAATTGGGATTGGGTAGGTGAAATTGACAATGTAGGAATTGGGAGTTTAAATCGGATTCTCGGAATGGAGAAATTGGGGATCTGGAGTATGGGAGGCGTCCTGGGAACATTGAAAAGAGGAATTAGCTGGTATATGTTAAGAGACCTATGGAGTCTCAAAGGAATCTGCAGCTACATGGGAAGTGATCAATTTCAGAACTGGGGAGTATATCGGTTTGCATATGAATGTTCAAGAGCTGGATACACTGGATCTCGGGGGTTTATCAAGAAGGGAAGCCATTAGTGGATTTTTACACTCTTCATACTTGGCCTACATTCGTGTATTCGAGATATGATTGAATCAGCTTAAAATATTAACGAATTCAAGGCACCTCCTCATCACTGTCCCCACCGAATCCAAAACTGAATCCCCCAGCCTCCCCATCCCCATTCCCAGTCGCAACAGCCTCATCCCATTTCCTCTTCCTTCCTTCCGCTTTCCTCTCTAGCTCCCCCATGGCCTCATCCAATAACTCAGGATACTCCCTCTTCATGCCCTCCACAAACATCGTGTACGGATCCGTCACCTCTTTCTTAAACCCCGAAACCTGATCTGCTTTGTCCTTTAAAAAGCCCAACACACCCACCAAATGCGCGCGCGGCACAAAATTCTGAGTTATAGCTATACTGGCATCCAGATTAACTACCAAGTGCCACCATCCACTGGGTACATGCAGCACTTCTCCAGCAGCACATACGCCTTCGATACATCCGGGCGTGCGACGCGCCTCGGAGTGGAAACCTAGGAGCCACTCGGCGATGGAAAGGGGAGATGTGACTTCGGATTGATCCGAGCTGACGTATACGCCGGGTGGGGGAGGTGAAGAAGGGGTGGAGGGAAACATGATCCAGTATTTTGAGCCGCGGAGAACGGCGTTCCAGGCGGAGGTGGCGTTGGGATCTTTGTGGTAGGTTGAGCCTGAGCGAGCGGGACCGATGATGAGCCATTTGTCGTCGGGACGGTTGGGGCCGAGGACCTGGAAGAGATCTTCGCCGAAGCAGGAGGGGATTTGGTAGGGTGGGGCGGAGCTGGCTTTGGGGGTGGAGAGGTTCATTTTGGAGAGGAAATCGCGGTCGAAGAGGTAGAGGGGAGACTCGTCGGCGCTGTGGTTCATGTATTGGATGTAGGTCTTGAGAGACCAGTCGACGGCTTCGGCGCGGAATTTGATATCGCTGTGTTGGCGGAGGAGAGCTTCGGTGTCCCAGGAATGATAGGCAGGCCATTCTCTCACTGGGGCAGTGAGGATGAAGGGTTTATCGCTCCAGGTTGAGGTGAATTCTTCGGGAGTGAGGTTTTCGAGGCGGGGAATTTGGTTCTTCAGAGGGATGTTGGTTGTGTAGGGGGTTAGGGGGGTGTGGGTGCAGAGGAATGGTCGGTATAAGACGTCGGAGAAGACATTGTTACATTGGATTTTTGAGAGCTGGCTTTCTTCTATGTTGAGGAATGTTGCACGCCATGAACCTCGCCATTTGAAGGTACCTGATTTGGATACTGGGGACCTATGTTTTGGTTAGCAGTCAAATTAGGTGAGTATTGGTAGTACATGAGTGCAGATAATTGTGGTTAAAGGGTGACATGTATATTTTAGTTGCTCTATATGATTTTCCCAGCTGAAGGTCTTGGGATCTTTGTAAAATGCCACTTGATGTATCATAATCTCCCTGGCTGTAAACATCTTCGAACCTTCAAAAATATCACTTGATGTATTGGAGTCTTCGATTGCTAAATAACTTCTATGGACACTTCAATGGACATAGAATATTCCACCTACATGAATGGTGGATAGTCCCCACTATTGCTTTGATAGAAAATACAAATGATCCTTCCTCTTTTTAAAAAACTCGCCAATAACCTAGGAGTTTATGAAAATCCTTCCTCAAAACTATTTCCCCTGTTCGAAAAGTGACAAAGAGTCATCTTTTTGAATGTCTAAACGCTAGTAGTTTCAAAGGAATGACTCCTATTGTAATGACTCCTATTGTCTTTCTCTACCATGACTCCAACTTCCCAAAACAGCAACGACGTCTCATTTAATATAATTCAATGAAGCAAAATGATAAAAGAGAATCAAAATTACTCACTCAATAAATAAAGGTTTCCAAAGTTCCTCGGATCGCGTGAATGCATATAAGAATTTGCAAGTAGAACCAAGCAAGGCTAACAATTCAGGATGCAAAGATTCTAATAATATGGCCACCACTTCATCCGGCAAGATCTGAAGAGATCCAATCGCGTAACGAGCATTGCTGGTGGCTGTATATTGATTCCCTGAGGGCTTGACACCTAAAGGATGAGGTGGGATGGAAACAGATGACTCTTCGATCTCTGCTGACTCGAATACTGGTATAGTAGTGGTACTATTGCCACTAGGCTGTATGGGAGTTGCAAAATCTAGATTTGAAGCAGATTTCATGGTTGATATCAAAGTGTGGAAAGGGAAGTAATAAAGGTAACAGGAAGGAGGGGTAGAATGATAAGAGATAAATACAATATCCAAGTTGAGACTTTTAGGAATAATGTGTATCGGGTATAGGAGGCATGTATGGGTATGAAGTAGGGGAGGAGGAGGAAAAGGAGAGGGAGAAGGAGAAGGGGAAGGGAAGGGGTGAATTATATTTTGTCTCTTTTAAGAATCAAATGTATATAATATATTTTTTCTCTTCACCATACTGTGAGTGGTCCGTGGAGCAAAAAAGATGGAGGGGGTGGATCGCCACTTTAACAGTTCAAAGGTGGCTGATGAAGTGGCACTGCACTGTACTGTCTGAGACCTCATTGTTTATAAGTGTCTGTTACTGCAACTGTCCACCGTAGTCATAATATTTGATTGAATATGTTGCCCATTTGTGATGATGTCTAATTCTCTATGAGTCAATGTTTGAATTCTTTCATTCATAATCAATTCAAGAGTATCTCTAGATATCGAGGTATCTACTAGGTAGTCAATAGCCTCTACTTCAGACATAAAAAGATACCCGAATAGGTAACACGTCAAAGTCTCCCTAAGAGAGTCTGAAACAAACGCATATAACGAATGCTGATTGGATGAACCTTTTTCAACCATTATTTTTCTAACTGATATGGTATGTACCTAACAAGTAAGTACTTCCTCATTCGGCCTGATTAAAGTAGTTGTTTGCTTTTCTTGATTCCCATCATCTATTTCCTACCTTGGTACACCTCCATCGACCTACCTAGGTACTTCACTACTGGTGACTGGCTCGAGACTAATAGTAGCGGGACAAAAAAAATAAGCGAGAGTTTCCCCAAAAAACTTTTTAGAATATCAAAGCCCTCCTTCCTCTTCCTTTTTTCTCTCCAAACCACAACTTCTACAAACACAAGCAAACAATCAAAATCACTAGATATACATTCAAACTCTCGTTCTCGGGAGTTGTTATCTAGTTTTCCACCCCCAAATAATTAAGAGCTTCACGTCGCAGTCTCTTTCAAGAGTACTTTGCGCATTTTTTCACCCCACCTCCACCTACCAACCTTATCATTTTCTAGATTTCAAGCAAGAGCTTGTAATCTAGATCTTACTTCAAACAACCCGCAAATATGGCTTCCGCTGATAAGGGTCTCGAGGAGATCCAAGAGGGTGAGTTACACCGATATTTTGAAGATGTTTTGAAGATGGATCCTACATGATCGCATTGTGGGAAAGGAAAAAAATCAATCAATAGAAACAAGAAGACTGACCACTTTTGTTTCTTGCAGGACAAATCGAGTCCAACTATGACGAGACCGTCGATTCTTTCGATACCATGAACTTGAAGCCAGAGCTTCTCCGAGGTACGATTTAAAGCAAAATCCATGAACAAACACACTTGGAGGAGCAAATTTAACATGAAATTACAGGTGTCTACGCTTACGGTTTCGAGCGTCCATCTGCTATCCAACAACGTGCTATTATGCCAGTTATCAAGGGTGAGTTCATCGAAACATGCGACTTTCTTTTCAGCATATCTAATATATTACAAAAGGCCATGACGTTATTGCCCAGGCTCAATCTGGTACCGGAAAGACCGCCACTTTCTCCATCTCCGTCCTCCAAAAGCTTGACCCCAACGTTAAGCAATGCCAGGCCTTGATCCTTGCACCAACCCGTGAGTTGGCTCAACAAATCCAAAAGGTCGTTGTCGCCATCGGTGACTTCATGAACGTTGAGTGCCACGCATGCATTGGTGGTACCAGTGTTCGTGATGACATGAAGGCCCTTCAAGATGGCCCTCAAGTCGTTGTTGGTACCCCAGGTCGTGTCCACGACATGATTCAAAGACGTTTCTTGAAGACCGACTCCATGAAGATGTTCGTTCTTGACGAGGCCGATGAGATGCTTTCCGTAAGTTTAAAACCGCTCAGTCTTGCTTGAGAACGATTCCACTAACAATCCTTCAAGCGTGGTTTCACCGAGCAAATCTACGACATCTTCCAACTCCTTCCTCAATCCACCCAAGTTGTCCTCCTCTCCGCCACCATGCCACAAGATGTCCTTGAGGTCACCACCAAGTTCATGCGTGACCCCGTCCGTATCTTGGTCAAGAAGGCCGAGCTTACCCTCGAAGGTATTAAGCAATTCTACATCGCTGTTGAGAAGGAAGACTGGAAGTTGGACACCCTTTCCGATTTGTACGAGACCGTCACCATCACACAAGCAGTCATCTTCTGCAACACCAGAAGAAAGGTCGATTGGTTGACTGACAAACTCACTGCCCGTGATTTCACCGTCTCCGCCATGCACGGTGACATGGACCAAGGTCAACGTGACTTGATTATGAAGGAGTTCCGTTCCGGTTCATCCCGTGTCTTGATCGCCACTGATCTCTTGGCCCGTGGTATCGATGTTCAACAAGTTTCCTTGGTCATCAACTACGATCTACCAGCCAACCGTGAGAACTACATCCATCGTATCGGTCGTGGAGGACGTTTCGGACGTAAGGGTGTTGCCATCAACTTCGTCACCGCTGATGATGTCCGCATGATGAGAGAAATCGAGCAGTTCTACAGCACTCAAATCGAGGAGATGCCAATGAACGTTGCTGATCTCATCTAAGCTTAATTTTCTTTTAATATACAATTTGGTAAATCACGAGTTCTCGAGCGTGAATGTCTATAAAAGGACCACAGCATCGAAACCCCCTTTGTAAGGGCAGTGATAGTGAGCGTAGCTGGTTCGCCCGGCGCGTGAGGATTTGGTCAATGGGTAGCATAAAAGTTGCTGCATTGGTTGGTGCAGCTGGATTATTTCTTGCGTATTTTATGGCATTAGAGGTTTGGGGGGTTCTTCTTTGCTTTTTAATCTCTGTATTTAGGGATTCCTCATCGGTTGTCTTACGACCTCTATGTCTACTCAGATCTACCTACAGTTGGCTCAAGACCGGTCCATTCGATGTAGTACGATTGATGATAGATGCTGAGATCATTTTCCATAGATCCCGGCAAAAATGAAAAAAATTTAATAAAAAATAGTCAAATGTTTCAGTGATGTCTGCATATTTTCCTTTGAATGTCATCCATTTATCATATCACAGTTGCTCGTTTTTTCCAGTGGTGTTGTGTCACAAGCGCAGGCGGCGAGCTCGCTAAGCTGGGTAGGAACTCGGAAGAAGCTCAAGTCGACCTTCACCTTTCATCGACACACCACCATCAATTTTCTTACGCATAATACTCATTGTTCTTATGTAGTACTTGACGTACTAGGTTTATTGTTATCACATCATATATTAATTGGCGTCTCACCATTCTCTAGATAAGTCATTTTTGTTTCTTCACTATGACAGTGGCATTCGCGAAGTCACCTCTCAAACGTGCTGGTTTGTGTCAAGAAGCCATAAATGGCGTTCAACGCATAGTTAACTTTCAATTTCGAAAGGAACATCGCGCTCTCTTGACCATCTTGGAGGATTTGAAAACTAAGGTAGATAAGACATCTGCAGATGCAGAACGACGATTTGAGGAATCTCAAAAGCAATTGAAGGATACTGAAAATCGATTGGAGAAGTTGGAAAATGAGTCGAGAGATTTGATCCAGAAAAATAAAGAGTGGGAGGGTGAAGTGAGGGGCTTGAAGGAGAAGATGGAGAGGTTGAGTGGGTTGATGGGTGGGTTTGTGCTGGTGATGTGGTTGCGAATGTGAGAGTGGAACTGATGATCACAGGTTTACAGACTGCATCTGCAGAGCCGGTTCTTGCTCGCAGTGGTGATACAGAGTTACAGAAGGATCGGGTGCCAGCTGGGACTGATTTGTCTGGTCAGGGTCTAGATGTCGCGGGTCTGCAGCATTTGGCAACGCCATCTGTCATCGTCTCTTCTCGGGGAAGTGCCGAAGCGCCTGAGCAACGTATGTCCACATCCACTACACAGCAATCCGTTTCAGCCTTGTCGCCAGAAATCAATACATCTCTCAATGATCGCATCCCTCGTACGCCGAATAGACGCCAATCAAGTCAAGCCATCTCACCACTCGCGCATGATGGCCCCATGAGTCCGCCCCTCGCCCCTCGACTATCACTCGTAGCTACTACACCGATAAATAAGAGAGTCCCACCACCATCGAGCAAGCCAGTACCAAATGCGACATCCCGCAAAGCTGCCCACCCCCCTTCATGGATCAATATCTCGCAGACCCCAGATCAAACTATCGAGGCCTATCTAGCTCAGGCAACAGAATACAACAAGGCAATTAAATCACGCAAATCTCGATTCGAATTCATTGCAAGATTCATCAGAGGATTGTGGAAGGAGAATGATCGCGACGTCTTACTCAAGCAGCTGCAAAAGAAATTCCAGTCCCGAACTACGAAGGATGGATTCGTGGAGGTTATGTGTGGATTTTCTGATGTGGGAGAGGGATTGCTGGCTGCTAGGTTGATTGCTGGAAGTGGAGGTACGAGTGGGAAGAGAGGTGGCCATGATGCTGGGATGGATCATGACGAGGTGGATGCATCGCATCAGAAGAGAAGAAAGACTTTGGAATCCCAGTCGTCGAATGATGATGAGTTGTAAGATGTCTGTCGACTTGCTTGGTTTCTTTGAAGGAAATGATGGCTGGGAATGGTGGTACATACTTTGTGGATGTGGAAGATAATAGCAGTGTCTGTCACTGTCAATGTTGCATGCTCGGATGTTATGCAGAGAAAATACTGGGTTTATATTGAGAAAGTAGCTAATACATAGAAGTGGAGCTTGAGATGCTCGGATATAATAGCATGTACGCCTCGCTGCGCTAATAATACCATACAAATCTAAATTGATGCTTGCTTGCATATGATACCTAGTTTCTCACTCTGAAGAGATATCTCCAAGATCCATATCCGTCTGAACAAGTGAGGTGATAACATCTAGACTCAAAAATGTAATCTAACCTAGACCCGGGCGAAATGTTCTTTCAAAATTTAAATTATATTACCAAGATAGATAGAGTCAATGTGTTAACTATAGACATTGTAGATCACAGAAACACACATCTATTGCATTAAGCGACTTGACTTTTAGGCAGGTGAGTTGAAATCATCTCAAATCTTCATTATTCATCGCCTTGGGGAGCACTGCTTTCCCCGCCCTTGATAACGCCTCGTTTAATCCTCGTCCTCTCCCAGAGAAATCGTACAGGGCGAATTGAACCAAACCATGTCCCGTCCCGTCCTGTCCCGTCCTGTTCCGTCCTATCATATCCTATATCCATTTGACCCACCCCATCCCATTCACAATCACGAAGGGCCATCCTCGGGCAACTCCTCAATTACGCCCCGTACAATCTCCATCAATTCATCCACATCCGGTCTCTCACTAGGTTCCACCTTCAAGCATTTTCGCACCACTTCCCGTATACTTTCGCTAATACCACTATCTTCACTTTGTCCCGTCTGATTCGTGGTCTTCTTCTTTCCCCCAGCTCCTTCGTCGGGAAATCGCCAATCGCCTCCTAATACGCAAATACTCAGACTTCCTCCCGTTTCATCGCTGCGCATTTCGAAGGGTGATTTTCCGACAAGACATGCGTATAGCGTGCAGCCTAGCGACCAAATGTCGACTTTGGTGTCGATAGTACTGCCTGTTTTTACGTCGAAGAGTTCGGGGGCGCGATAGGGCATGGTGGAGTGCTCGGCTGCTTGGTCTTGCACTGCTAGGGCGAGTGATCGGGAGGTTATCGGTGTGGGTGAGGGAGCTAGGGATCCGAGATCCATTAAAATGGGTTGGACGCCGTCGTCGTCAATCATGATGTTTCCTATTCTTGACGTTAGATAGCTTCACGCATTGGGTTCTCCCTTTGACATACCTGGTTTAATATCCCTATGCGCATATGCCCTAGCTCCTCCTGGCGCAATACCCTCTTGACTCATGGTAACTTCCCCATCCATAAGTGGTTCCTGCTGTTCACTATCCTCATCGGTTTCTCTCCCTCTCTGTCTTCCCCTCCTCGATTCCACTTCCTCTTCCGCTTCCTGGTCTGCCCGCGCCGCATCCGCCCTGACTTTCTTCGCCTTGTTCACACTATTCGCACCACCTGGTCCTCCTTTAACTTTATATTGATGCATAGCCTTCAGTGCATTCAAAACTCCCAAAAACAAAACCATCAGTCTCTTCTCCGGAAATTTCGTATGGTTCACCAGATTCGCATTGATTATATCTTGTAAATTTCCGCGTCGATAATATGGTAGCAGGATATACACCGTCTTCGCTCCGGGATCTGATCGATCCGCAGAGACACAGTAGTCCACGCTGTGTATTATATTTGGATGCGGCGAGAAGAGCGCATAGGCTTCTACTTCTTTCATGGCGAGGGCCACGGATTCTTGACCGAATGGACATCGGATTTTCTTCACAGCGTAGGTATTGTCACTGCTGGTATCTTGGACAAGGTAGACGTAGGAAAATCCTCCCTCGCCCAGTAATCGTAATATCTTGAAACTGCGATTATTTATTTTGAGCTGCGGAGAGCCCGGAAAACAACTCATACAGTTGGTGAGGGTATATAGTAAATCGAGAAAGTACTGAGCCATCTTGAATTAAGGAATTGGAAGGTTGAACGAGTTGTGAATCTTTGGCTCTGAGGTTTGCGAGGGTGCGAGCTGGTATAGCTCTGGGGCGCAAAGTGGTATGTTTCGTATCTTTGTGGAGCTATCGATGGGAAGGTTGCGCATGTGGCAATTGTGTTGCTGGGACTTTGCAATGCGAGTTATTAGATTGATTATGAGGAATTTGATCGTGGTAATTGGGTTGTGCTGCTATTGAGAGGTGTCTTTACCTACCTCCTACATACGGTTTATTGATAACAAGGGACGGCTGAGTAAGCCGTGGTATTAGCCACAATATACTTCGTATATTTTTGGATTTTGATCAGTGAAGAACAACATCTTGGAAAATGTTGTTATTAAAACTATAGTCTGGGGTTTGGTTATGTTTAAACTGTTGCTTAACTGAAGGCATGCCTTGTTATAGTCTCAGTATATCTCGTTCTTAGATATGTCTATTGAAGATGGTTCATGTAGTGCTAGTTAACAGTGCTTCGGTGAGCTGCAGGCTTTCAATCAAGAGCACACTCAACATTTGGAGGAGAAAATTAAGAAGATATACAAAGTTATATAAGATGTCATCACGGCTATCTCATAATCACGAAGTTTAGGGACAATACACGCTTTTGATGAGGTTCTATAAGAACTCAATGGCCGTTCAAACTTCCCTTGAGAGATTCATCATCAACCTATCACTCAGCCTATCATTTTGAACGCCCGCATATTGCTCCCCATCGATCTCGCTGATCTTGTTCTTGTTGTCTAATTAGAAAGGATTGGCCAGCGCTCAATTGCTTTCGATGATGGGATACTGTTCAGGGTAATTGATTGAGAGAAGGTGACTGGGGATATATAGGACAGCCCGACTGTTACTGTCTGTGGTGGGTGTGAGGTAAGTGTGCTTATCACGGTGATTCCTATAACAACCTTGGAACTATATGGTGAAGGAAGGCCGTAATCTGCCATGGCTTTAAGATTCTGCCTCGATTCATCATCAGCTATGTGCGATGGAATCAATAATGTGGAGCTGGTATTAAGTTTTGTATATTTCATCGCCACAAACGCTGCTACAAATATTTATATCTGAGGCTTAGTTGCCGATTTGGATGTGGTATCGAGTTTCTTTTTGGCCTGTGAAATTAGTTACATGCATGAAGGCGTCGGAATAAGTCACAGGCTCACAGGGTCCTCTGGAACACAAGCCTGAAAACCGGTACCACAGAAACAAACAGAAGCTCACAAAAGCCTATCGTCGTTTGCAACGTGGGTGGTTTTCTTTCATGTTTTCAAGTAAATGAGCGGCGCAGCAAAAAGTGATTGGCCCTGCATGCGGGGTCGCAGGCGGCTATATAATTCCTGCATGATTAAGTACATAATCAGGCTCTAAAGTACAGCTGCTCGAGCTGCTATTCATAAAAAGCAACTTTTGAACTTAGACTGTTTGTCGATATGAGAAATAAGCTTCTTGATCGCCATGATACAAACGAGCCATCCAATTATATTCCAAGCACGCCCGGTTACGAGATGAATAGCCCAATCCCAGCAGCTCAGTCCCATTCACATACGTCCAATTCAACTTTTAAGAAGAAATATCAAATACTAGGCATCTTCGCTTTAATTCTGGCCATCATTTTTGGTCTCCGCTCATTGCACATGGATCATAACAAAGACGGCCATGAATCAGTAGCCGATTCTGATTTCAATGCCCCTCCCATCTACACACCCACTTCTACCATCATCGCCGACGAAAACCGCCAAGACCAAGACAATCAATGCTCTCACAACCCAAGCTCAGTCCCTTGGCCTAATTCCACCTACCTAATTCGCGCCTCCTCATCTGGGAGACTCCTAACTCTAGACTCTGGTGACATTACTTTAGCCAAACCAGGCGATAACCGCGGCTCCAGCATCCACGTGAGTATACAATCCTTCGGCAGCAAGCCCTTCTCTGGACTCCTAATTTTATTCATTTATACTGAAACTTTCCTTCAAATAGTGGAAATGCATCGAAGTTAAAGGATGGCTCCATTTCCAGAACGCTGCTTCCGGTTGTTTTCTCGGGCACAAGTTCTGGGGTGATTTGACTTGCTCTTCAAGGGTGGCTGAAGGGTGGGAGAGATTTACCGTAAGACCTTTACCAGAAGGGGGATACTATCTTTCGTTGACGCACTTCGAAAGATTGTTGAAAGTGGGGATCAAGGATGGAGTTCTGGCGAAAATTTGGGAGGGGGAGACTGGAGGTTTCGTGAACAATGGAGAGGGGGAGGGGCAGGTGGTTGTTTGGGAGTTTACTAAGGTTTAGGCACGGTGTACTATGCTATCCTGTGCAGCTGCATGTACACACGACGTGTGAGGGCTGGCAACAGTTGTTACAACTCTTTAAAGAATGATAAGTCTAGTCAGCGGTAAATACGCACAGCGAAAGGCATAATTGTGTATGGAGAACTTTTCAACCAGTGTACATATAGATATCCAACCCTAAGTTCGCTTTTCCCAAAGAATAAAACCCGCCCCCAAAAGGGGGGGTTAGATACACTCGGAAGCCAGGCTTGGGTAACAATCTATATGAATAATTAATTACAACGGGATTCAAATAAACTTTTCGATACAATGTGAGAAACACGCGTTTGATCATCTCTAAACTCGGGGACATGGACCTCGCCCAAAAACTTATGGTCGCTAAAATGCCCAACATGCCAAGAACGCCTTCGCTATGCAATCAATTAGCACCCATATATATACCATCAAATTCGAAATCAGCGTCTATTATTTCCATCGAGCTCAGCGAAAGTCGATCCATTCATTTCGTGTACCTGCGTATTGCCAACCTCGTGCGCCTCGTATCCATATCCATGGCCGATCTCATGCGGAACGTCAGATCCAGGCGAAGATGGAAGAGAAGCGACTTGGTTCATTTTAATCTGGGAAGCCGCGTAAGGACTATCCTGCTGTGGCGCTGTATCATATTTCCTCCGCCTCCTCATGAAAAATATAGTTCCAATGAGAGCAGCAATGGCAACTATACCAACGGCGATACCGACAGCAATACCGATCTTTGCTCCGGTGCCGAGTCCTGAACTACTATTACTACTATCACTAGTTGAGGGCGAAGAAACTGCTGATGTGTACGTAGCTGCAGCTCCAGATGAGCTGGGAGTAGAGCCAGAGGCTGCCGTTTCGGATTTGGAGGCCGATCCAGATGTCGAACTCGAACTAGTACTCGAGCTGAAAGCCGTCACTGTCGGAACTGCAGAATTACCATCGAAATTATATCCATTGATCTGAACAGCCTGGACCGCATGGTCACTATCCAACACAGCAGTCATTGTCGTATATCCATCTGCGGCAGGTGTCCAAATACTAACATATGTGATCGTGGCTCCGGAGGTGATGGTCGATGTGCATTCGCCGGGATAGGGTTGGGACATTAAAGACCATAGAGCATAACCGCTAGGACAACACCCACTCAGTGTAGAACCAGAGTTTACAACGGTGGTGACGGCTACGGTATAGGCTTCCGGACATAGAAAGGGTCCTAGTGAGGTGATCGCTGTCGCAGAGGTGTCTTGATTCCACCATGATCTTGCTTCAGAAGGCCAGCACTTCGTCGCGAAGGTAATGGCATTCTGGTTAGGGTCGTAGGCATAGATCTGTGTGAGATTATTGGGAGAATACAATTCGGTTTTGCAGCTAGGCACATTGGGATAAACAGTGGTTAAAGGTAGCCAAGTAGTCACCACACCGGCTGTCCCCTCAGCAGCTGGGTAACGCGAAGTTGGCGTTGACATTGATCACTAGCTTCATCAATTGTTGCGCGAAGAAAAGTAAAAAGCGATCGCAAGAAATCTACAACACGCAAGGTGCTGGAGATCTGATGCATTTACGAAATAGAGTGCGGCTACTGGCCTCCACCTACCCTCAAAGCACCACTCTACTTGGACCCCTGTATCCACATGGGGATATCGAGTCTCCATAGCCAATTCGTGATACGCTACAGTTAGATAGCGCGACGGTTTGAAGAACCTGTTGAATTCCTTGCGCCAAGTATACACGTCTGAGTGGAAGGATTGTTATCTCGTGGGGCCATGATCCTAGGTAAGCTTGAATGGAGGCCGCCTTGGATATTGCCCTTGATTGGCAAGGCTGGCACTGACAATATCAGTAAAGCAGCAATGTGAAATAAAATTTGAGCCATCGCTTGTCAACTGTGCTGCGTATTTTATTGGTTCCTTCGCCTGGAAGTGACTAAAGAATTGATTACAGGGTGGCAGGGCTGAAGAAGACTGCAAACTCGATAATGTGTCAAAGTCCAGCCGGGATTCACCCCCTTTTGCGTCAGAAACCCTTTTTATAGGTGTGGCTGTGAAGAAAAAACAAGAGACCTCATAGATAAAAAGACGTTTTACTTGATCTGATAAAAATTCTGTAGCATTTGCCTTAACCATAGGGAGGGTAAACCCGTAGATCCGAACAAGGAGCACTAGTTTGAACCGTCGTCCCACTTTGGACCTGTGCACGAGTTGGCATCTACTTAGTCTGTCCCAAATACCAACAGGTGGCCCTTTCACTGTGTGCTCGATCGCCATGTCCAGATCCTAGTTGGGGAGTATTTCTAGCCCCATAATGAGAAAGCTGCAGCCATGTAGGGCGGAAATTGGTTGCTGGGTTCTTGAAATTTGCTGTCAGATCAAAATCAAAACCAACTCATTGTGGACTACACATACATAACCATTCGCCTGCCTGGATACTTTCTCCAAGTTTCAAAATATCAAAGCTATCTTGATTCCCCGGAAAACATTCGTTTACAGCTTGTTTAATACAAAGAAGGTTCACTACGAAATTGACTTCGAGATCCTGGCCAGTGACCAATAATCGACCCCAGATATATGTGGTTGTCTCCGTTGTAGTGATGTTAATTTACCAGGCTTCTTCAGGAACTCTTGGCCCGAGTTGAATTTATGTCTGAAAAATAGAAACCGAATTGATTGACGTTGCTCATGAAATCCATTAGAGTAAGAATGAATTCTTCGTCGCAAAGGTCTTTAAACTATTCTCCCCAACCTCTCTCACCACGCCATGACCTTCCGGTAAGACCTGAATTTGTTCATGAGTTCTCTGGGCGGCGCAATCGTTACCAAGAAACATCCGGGTATAATCCTCCTGCATAGCGCCTCACTCGACGCTGTAACAACCTCAAATATAGCTTGGCACTCTTTCTCAGCATCACTTGGCGCGATTGAAGTTTGAATTTCTCGAGAATTTCCGATGAATGCTTTAACGAAAGTACTACTATAGACACAGAAAAACCCTTTGGGTTGATTGCCTGCGCTCATTTTGTTGGTTGTGAAAGCGCCGAATGGAAAATCAATACGCAGATTCTAAAAGGCTATTTCTTCTGCTAGTCCTTCAGTCTCAAGAGCTATCAAGCAGACTTGGAAATCAGGATCTGATGGGCATCCAGTGATAATCCACACTAAGATGTCTAATTGGCCATCACGAGGTTCCGAGCATTGACATCACCACCAGAGTTGGGGAAGCGCGATGGGCGTATACAATCAATCTATCAGTTTTGAAGGGCCTTTGGTAAGTGCGAAATAGGTAAGCAAAGTTCGCTGTGATCATAAATAATTCAATTTGCTGAGGAGCAAAAAGAGTTGTGGAGTCAAGATTCGCCGATGCACCACCTACGAGGTAATGCCTTTGGATCGTTTGATTGAGCGAACAGGAGAGTTGACAGGTGACTATACGAGTAGGAACTTATGCAACGCGCCGGCACTTGCAGCAGATGGGGAGGGAATCTGGAGGCCATGTAATTCATTCCACAGCCTGAGTGAAAGATCAAGAAAATATCAACGAACAAATGCAACATATAGCGTGGGTATCGAGGAGATGACATAAAGACAATCGCCTGGTTCATAGGAGATTTTTATACTGTTCTTCTTTCTGCTTCTCGGAATGTAGATGTAGATATTTACCTTGAACATCATATATCCTCTATAATACAATGTTTCGACATTCGCATCTCCATTTTAGTCATTCATTCGTGGCAAAATCAAAACTGGCCTCTATGCGCCGAACTTTGACTCCTTGTATGGGTATCTAACTTCGTCATCCTTCCTCATCCATAATTGCTTCTTCTTCTTGGTTACGACATGTTCACCCCAAACTTGCTTCGCATGTTGCTTCATAAACTTCCTGATAAATCTGGGATCCCAAAGCTCACTGGCTACTCCGAGGTCCTTGCAGCAACGCATTAAGGCATTCGATTTGCATCCTTCTGTGGCGGTTGGAATACCTTCGGGGGAGAAATAGTCTTGTTCACCACGAGCCACGGATACTAATCTGCAGAGGAGAAAAACATTAGCTCTGCTCACTTAAATGATAATAATAACTCCTAAAGACTTACCTTCCATGAGCAACGAGAGCATATTCTCTTGTAATACTCTTCTGCGTAACAATGGTTTCTCCTCTTGGTGCCAAACCCCATCCACCAGGTCCAAACGCTCGATTCAAAATTCTTCGATATTTGATTTCTGGCAAGTATATAATACCATCTGGCTTGACCTCCACATCATCAGCAGGGATTGGTGCAAGTAAAATATCTGCAGCTTCTTTGGAGAATGGCTGTGACGACAATCCGTGGAATGATCTCGCCCAGTCGACTTGTCTAGCTCCTTCATCCAAAATCAATGGTCCATCTGCAAGTCCCTCAGTCATATCTGTGATGGGCGATTGAGCATCGATCGCAGCTTCTGGCTCCTTGGGTTTGGTCGCAGGGGCTGCATAGCTTGTGGGAGGCTTTGTTGCAGTCGTCGTTCTTGGTGTGTAGCTCGAACCTGGAATCGCCGCATTTCGAAAGTTTTGGGAGAAGCGTCTTGATTGACCAGTCAGACTTGTAATTTTTGATTCTGCTGAGAATCTTGATACAGATGTCGCTGCATCAGTAACTATTGAGCGTGAAGCTCTAGGTATAATTGCTGCCATGTCGATGTGTGAGGAAAATGTGTTTGCTCTTGGTAGACGCGATTTCTCTTTGCTCACGAAAATGTGGCGCGCTTCAGAAGACGACCAATTTTCCTTTCTATAATTGATTTTCGGCTACACCAGACAACAACAGAGTAAATTCAAAAATTCAATTATAAAAAACCATTTGAAGTGAATTTCTGCTGTAATTTCTCTCAAAGTGAATTTTGTTATCTATAATAATGTACACCTGGCTCTCACGAACCATATTCATCAAATTCTTACAACTATTCTACCCCTCATGTCCTCATGTCCTCCATGATCTTTCCAGTCAATCTT